TAAAGATGTTACAAATTATGCCCAAAAGCTTCTTACTGATATGTCCTTTGGGCTTCATTTAGAGTTTGGCTAAATATTTGAACTCTCTTGTCATTGTGGATTGTTTCCATTGTAACAAGTAAACATGTTTTATTTTCTTAATCGCTTTAAGTATCCACCCATTATTATGCTGTGCATTCCCATCCCACACAGATGGTTTTCGCCTTCTGGGTAGAATGTAGACGGGAGTTCAGATCGACTTTAGCTCACAGGCTGTGCAGTGTTCCCTCTGCCTGTAGTAATCAAAAGCAATACTCTACAAACCCTTAACTCTAAATACAGCATGCATGTTCAGCATGTACTCTTGGGAAAGGAACAAAGATAGGTGATCCAAGTGCTCCAATGTATAAGTAGATAATCAATTAGAGCTGCACAGTCAGGATACTCATCTCTGTTTAGGTGCGATGGTTGTAAATTGATGCTTGTGTGCATTTACACAGCGTTTCTTTCTTTTTTCCTGCTGACTTACAAACTTACAAACTTCACGCTTAGTTGCATTTCCTTCAAGTAAATTGTTCCCAGGGAGTTTATACTTGGGTAACTGGAGATCAATCTAAAACTTACTTGCTGTGCCAATTTTAGCATGAATAAAGTTTTCCTTGGGAAGAATGACTTTCATTTATAATAAACATCCTTTAACAGAGTAAACTAAACCACATATCAAATCACCAATCCCTTAATTTTTGGTATTTATATCACTACATCAAGGATCAACTGGACATACACTGTGAACTGTGAGAGAACTTGTTGAGGAATACTTTTTTTTACAGTTGTTATCTATGTGTACATCTGTTCCCCCTTCCCAGATTCCAAAGTTGCTGCTTATCTGCTGAGAGGTATAGGTAATGCTAGACAGGTGCTCCGCTGCACCCTATTTCTGGACATGGAGGTATAATTACCTGAAAGTACCAGAACTGGGTTCCACACCTGAACTATTATGGACTTGCATTAAACAGTTGTAAGGAGCCTGATGCAGCTTTATATAAGCCACTCATGCCCAACCTATACACAATTACCAGAAGGATTATAGAGTGAAGCTCCAAGTAAAATAATGTCACATTATACAGTAAATATATAGATAAGTTCCAATTTTAAACTCCATTTTAGAAGTGAAGATATGGTAAGGAGATTAAGGAGACATCTATTGATGTTTGGACCCCTGCTTCTGACTCTCAGTGGCCCTTTCATTTCATGTGGATGAGATGGAGGAATTCAATGAAAGCAAGTAGTTTAATAGTTAGTTTCAGAAAGGTAATGTGTGGGTGGTCTGGTTGAGTGACTGTGGGATTTAGTGCAGTTCAATATTGATATCTATAGACAAGTGAGAGGTTTGAGGTTTTCAGTTGGTGACAAATCCAGATCTTCCAAACTATGCGCGGCAAGTCTCGAATTGAAGTTACTTGGTGTACTGTGCCCTGTAACACCTCTCACTGTATCCATCGCATCGTATTATTAGTGGTTCCTGAATCTTATCTGTCTTTTCCTTTCTGCTAACTATTATGTGCTCCCTAGTAAACTAGAGATTGCCTGCAGATCTATTTATTCTAAGAGAATATCTCAGTTTGACGCTTCTTTGAAGCTTAATTCAATTGGTAGTTTCTTGCTGAAAACCATTCTACTGCATGGGCTAGTTTCCTGCATGTGATTTTCCTGGAGCAGAGGTCTTGATTCTTGGCTCAATCATGAAAACACTTTGCCTTAAGTTTTGCCTTTTGTTCTTGTAGACGTGGTTCCACAATATGACAAGAGTAGCTGGTTATGCTGTTCCTTAACCTCACCGTCTTGGTACTGCAAGAACTATGAGATGAAACTTGGCCTAGTTTACTCACTCTCACTTGCCAAGATATTTGCAATGTTTGTTTTTATACTGAGTACAGGAATCTCCCTGAACTCCATGGTCTCTTACAAAGAGCCCAATATATCTTCACCCAGTTCTTTCCATGAGTCTTCATAAATGTGACACGTTCCACATTCCACAAACAGGACAATGTGCAAAACATCCACTTCTCATGCTGTTGAAGCTCTGTGGGAAAAGCAGCATGGATGCAGGAGTACAAAGGATCAGCTTGCGTGCAATCCTGGTAAATTACATTTATATTGATTTCAGTTAGGACAGTTTTGCATGTCATTCATACACTCTTGAGCTGCTAGTTATATGTATCCAATAAGAATGCCCCAATGAAACATACTGTTGAACCTAATACACATAAGCTGTTCATATGTCATTTTCCTCTGTTAACATCTAGGCTTATTTTATCACATAATAATTTATTCTTAACAACGGCCACAAAAGGCCATACACACGTACATTTGTGTATACTTCCTTTTGTAATCCTGACTCCTCTAGTGGCCAACTCTTTCCTCTCATCACAACTGCAATTAGTGTAACACACCTGAATATCACTAGGGTGACCAGCATCAATAATACAGCTGTCACTATTAATTCCAAACACCTAGTCAATGCTTTAGGATTGTTGAGGGCTTATTGATTATGGGGCTTAAGTCAGCTGCCTTAGTTGCCTTATCCTGTTATCTGGGGAGGAGATGTGTCTACTAAGGATTATTGTGTTTTGAGTTCTATTTCTGTTTAACAGATTTTAAGTAATGAACCCAACCAGAGATGTTGCCATGTGAAGAGTCACAAGATATTTTAAAAAATAGTACTAGTTTGTTTGAGCCTATGCAAAACAAAATATTAACTTTGGATATTTATCACACTGAGTTTTCCTGATTATACACTGTTTAACAATTATATGTATTCAAAAGGTCTATGTATTGTATGATACAGGCCTGCATACCCTCTGGACAAACAAAATAATTTTAAAACACTGCAAACCAGGTGTGGCAGATTGGGTGGTGTCCACTTGTACCTGGATTGAATGTTTATCTGGGTGGATCAATTTGCTTTTCACAGTTAAGTATAAAACTCATGTGTCAAGGAGTCTCCAATGAAAACTCTATTGCCCCACTGCATGCGATCAGACTGTAACATATGTTCTCCAAATGTCTTTTTTCCTGTGCAGACCTAAATCAAATCAGTGCCAGGTAGACAAGTTGGATATGTTTCATAAAGCTTTTTCATACCTAAGCAGAAGACCTTAGGCTCCTTAGGTAGTTGCCAGTTGCATGTAGTTCTTCTGCAGGCACATTCACTCACCCTAAATATTAGGGGTCATTTTTCAAAAAGTACCATGCTACCCTATTGTACCAGACAATCCTTCCATCTATTTTGACGGTTGTAGCTCAATCAGTTACTTTTAACAATACATATACTGTGCATCAGTGTACAAGTTTGTTCATATAGCTTTATTTCCAGTACTTGGAAAATAACCATATAAAGTCACATGTATTGATGAGTCACATTTTGACTAAGAACTGATGTGAAATTGGAATATCTATCCATTCTTAAACTATGAGTTGCAGCAAATAAACGAAGTGTTATTTGGATCGAGGTTCTTCTATGTATTATTCATTTGGTGAGCATTGATAGTTCTGAAATAATTGGCTGGGAAAACCTGAAGACTTGTTTTTCATAAGTGTTGTAGCGTATCTTTTAAAGGTCATATGTAATCTTATTAATCATATTATTCCCTCAGAGAACAAAGTAAATCAGACTCAGAAAGAAAAAAAAGTATAATTTTCATACTCATTCCAACAGAGCTGAGTTTGGTTTACAAACTATTTCAATAGATGTCTTGCATATTAACAATTTTCAGTTAATATGGATAATAATGCATTTATTAGTTTGTTTTGACTATAAGGACCCTTTTGTAAATCTGAATTCTATTAGCAGTGAGTGGAGTTTACTACACAGTAGAGGGAACCAGCTGTTTTTGCTTGTATGGTGAGATTAGGCCAACACTGAATGTAAAGTACATGTTAGGCAAATTATTCATTAGTAAGTAGCTTTAGATTGAAGACACTACACAAAAATATAGAAAACTGGGTGGTAGGTTTTATGTGGGAATGATCAAGTGCGAGTAAATAAAAGATTGGATTCTTCTTATTGGAGAGGTCCCCAGGTATAGGTTTTTTGGGAGGAAATGATCAAGTGGGCATAAATGAATAGAGTGGTAAGACATATGGAGAAAGTAAGAAGAGAGTGGAGTATTGATGCAGTTGTATCATTTGACTTTCTCTAAATATTTAGTTTTTTTCTTTTTCAGGGACTCTTGTATTCTTTGTAAATATAATTTTGGCTCGATCATATATTTTTCTTTAGAACGTTTTATCCTCAGCAGTGAACATTTCACATTGCATGAAATGTGTTTTCTGTTACAAAATTATAGGAAAAATATGTTTGTTATCGTGCCAACATTTACATGAGTAATTACCCAGAGAGATATCCCTGGTAAAAACAATACCATAAAACCCTTTATCTCCTATGGCTAGCATTTTTTCAGTGACTCATTAAGAAAAGACATATCCTTTTTGCAGTCATTAAATGCATCTGTGCAATATTGTTTTTCAGGTCATCGTTAATGTCATCATTGTAAGTCACAAAGATTTCTGTCATAAGCATCAGGAAGCCCCACTGAATTATTCCCTTGGTCTTTTGTAAATGAGGTCAGTGTGTTCCTCCACCTATTTTTATTGGTCCCTAGGATAAAGCAAGAGTTTTCATGTTGATCTTGAGACCAATAAAAATGTTTTTGTGTCCCCATTCCCCAGCTGTAGGCCATGGATGAGAAACGTATGGTTGTCATGGTAGGGATCCTTATTTTGGAAGAGCTGCGAGGAGTGCTGTAATGTGTTGAGGAAGTTCTTTATGATCTCATCCAGTCTGTTAGTGTAAGGTTTTAGCAGAACAAAGAATGCCTCAAACCAGTAGGAAAATCGACATTAATAGTTATGTGAATATGACTGCAATTCTTGAGCATTTCTTATGTCATTTATATTTATAAACATTTTTATCTTGTTAATACCTTAAACAATGTTCTATCTTATTTATATTCTTGCAGACATTAATGAATGTGAGATTGGTGCCCACAACTGTGACAGGCATGCCACGTGTACAAATACACCTGGAGCTTTCAAATGCAGCTGTAATCCTGGATGGGTAGGGAATGGCATCAAGTGCACAGGTACAGTATTTTCACTGACATTCAGATGTTCCATTTGTAACTTTGATAGATGCTCTTGACCTAGCATGCCTAGCTGTCCCATAAAATGTACCTTACTGTAGTAGAACTCTCTCCCCTGAAATCCGCTGCACTTTTATTACTCTGCCTATCTAACATTGAAACAAAAGTGTTTTGCTGCTACTTTCCCAAAACATTGTGAATGTGGCATTGTTTTTTATGGTTCACACTGTCTTCTTCTAAATTGCTATTTGTTTAATGCAAACATATGACATTTATATGCTGTTATCAATGTTTCAGACCTTGATGAATGTTCAAATGGAACTCATTTGTGTAGTCCAAATGCAGACTGTAAAAACACCATGGGATCATATAGATGTCTATGCAAAGAAGGATACTCTGGAGATGGCTTTGTTTGTACAGGTAAGCCTTTTTCAACATGAATTCCACTTCTATATTCTGCAGTACAGATTAAAAACAAAATCCACTCTGTGAGAAGAAGGGGAGTAAGTCACATGTTCCCCCAAGTAATGATGGAGTAGGGAAGCTAAAGAAAGACAGTTATAGACAGCTGTGGTGGCTGGCATAAAAGTGAACCTGTTGCTTTGCCCTGCATGGAGGAGTGCAAGTAGTGTAAGTACCGTATTTTTTTTGCTCCATAAGACGCACCTGACCATAAGACACACCTAGGTTTTAGAGGCGGAAAGCAAGAAAAAAATTATTCTGAACCAATGGACTGCAGACACAGTACAGGAAATGACCAGAGACTGCGGACACAGTACAGGAGACCAGAGACTGACCAGACAGGAGATGACTGTGCAGTCACAGTACAGGAGATGACCAGAGACTGCAGTCACACAGTACAGGAGATGACCAGAGACTGTAGACATACTACAGGAGATGACCAGAGACTGCGAACACAGTACAGAAGATGACCAGGGACTGCGGACAGTATAGGAGATGACCAGAGACTGTGGACAGAATAGGGGATAACCAAGAGAATGCGGATGTACTACAGGAGATGACCAGAGACTGTGGACAGTACAGGGGATGACCAACAGACTGCGGACATACTACAGGAGATGACCAGAGACTGTGGACAGTACAGGGGATGACCAAGAGACTGCGGACATACTACAGGAGATGACCAGACACTACGGACAGTACAGGGGATGACCAAGAGACTGCGGAGTGTACAGGAGATGACCAGAGATTGCGGAGAGTACATAAGATGACCAAGAGACTGCAGAGAGTACAGGAGATGACTAGAGACTGCAGACAGTACAGGGGATGACCAGAGACTGCAGACAGTACAGGAGATGACCAGAGATTGCAGACAGTACAGGGGATGACCAAGAGACTGCAGACATACTACAGGAGATGACCATAGACTGTGGACAGTACAGGGGATGACCAAGAGACTGTGGAAATACTAAAGGAGATGACCAGAGACTGCGGACAGTACAGCGGATGACCAAGAGACTGTGGAGAGTACAGGAGATGACCAAGAGACTGCGGAGAGTACATGAGATGACCAAGAGACTGCGGAGAGTACATGAGATGACCAAGAGACTGCGGAGAGTACATGAGATGACCAAGAGACTGCGGACACAGTACAGGAGATGACCAAGAGACTGTGGAGAGTACAGGAGATGACTAGAGACTGCAGACAGTACAGGGGATGACCAGAGACTGCAGACAGTACAGGAGATGACCATAGACTGCAGACAGTACAGGGGATGACCAGAGACTGCAGACAGTACAGGGGATGACCAGAGACTGCAGACAGTACAGGGGATGACTAAGAGACTGTGGGCCTTTGGGGAGGGAGGGGGAGCAGGTACCTGAATTTGACAGTTGTCCTCCCTTTAGTGTGGGCACCTGGCTGATAGCCGGGTGCTCACTGCGCATACGCGAGAAGCGCTGCGCTTTGTGATTGTTCCAGCGTCTTCTGGGACCTGTCATGTGTCCCAGAAGATGCCGTACCATTCACAAAGTGTAGCGCTTCTCGCGCATGCGCACTGGGCACCCGGCTGTCACAGCAGAACATGACTCTTGGTCACTACATGTGCAGTGCTTCCTAGCCTGAGACCTACTCTGGAGAACACTGAAGATGTTTATTGTCAAGCCAAATTCAAGTACCGTATTTTTCGCTCTATAAGACGCACTGACATTTCCCCCGCCTTTTTTGGGGGAAAAAAGTGGGGAGCGAAAAATAACTTGAATTTGGCATTGACAATAAACATCTTCAGTGTTCTCCAGAGTAGGTCTCAGGCTAGGAAGCACTGCACCTGTAGTGACCAAGAGTCATGTTCTGCTGTGCCTTCACCATTTAGTCAGCAGACAGCGGTGTGTTCATGACCAAGCTATGCTACTTCAGTTCAAAGTAATGAAAATCCCTTGCCAGGTAAAACAGTCACCATACGTATAGGTATTTCAACTAGGTATTTAGTTGCTCAGGTTTAAGTTGTGTCAACATTTTTCATGTTTTACAATGATCAGTATAGCATACCCGTCAATATTAATTTGATAAAACCTTGAATAAATATACACTCACCGGCCACTTTATTAGGTACACTTTGCTAGTGTTAAGTAAATACCCTTCAGGGAGTGTAACCTATGTGGTAACAATATGTGCTTATATGTATAGCACGTGATATTATATACCTACGGTATAATTTTTTGATAATACCTCCTACAGGGAGTGTAACCTTTGTGCAGGTGCTGCAAATGCTTTAGACTATGGTGGTCATAGCCTTTGCAGCACATATATCCAGACCGGTCTTGGTGTGATTTTAATAATTTTAGGTCTCAGTGTATTGTCTCATACTGAGGTGATGGTTAACCAGGGCGATTGCCCGAATGTCAATTATTAATGTGTAATAAAGCATAATTTTTGGAAATTTTTCTGAGTATCGCATTCTGTCCATAATGTAGCCGCTTTCTTGTGAATCTCTTTTCACAATTCTCTTCTTTGGTCTGCATATTTTTTGGCTACTGGATGGAAGCCATATATTGGGTGATACAGTAATTTAGAACCTCTAAATCTATCTTTTACTAATTAAGTAAATACCCCCCTAACCATTGCACCACCACCACCAGCCTGAACCATTGATACAAGGCAGGATGGATCCATGCTTTCATCTTGTTTACTCCAAATTCTGCCTTACTGTTGTCATTCTTTCATCTCAAACCAGTCTGCCCATTCTCCTCTGACCTCTGGCATTAGCAAGGCATTTTTGTCCACATAACTACCGCTCACTGGACATTTTCTCTTTTTCCGACCAGTCTCTGTAAACCCTAGAGATGGTTGTGCATAAAAATCCCAGTTGATCAGCAGTTTTTGAAACTCAGACCAGCTCGTCTGACACCAACACCCATTCCACATTCAAAGTCACCTAAATCCCCTTTCTTCCCTATTCTGATGCTCGGTTTGAACTTCAGCAAGTCATCTTCACCACGTATAGATGCCTAAATACTTTGAGTTGCTGCCATGTGATTGGCTGATTAGCAATTTGTGTAACCAAGCAATTGAACAGGTGTACCTAATAAACTGGCTGGTGAGTGTTTGACAGTGTTAGGTACATATTAGGGTACCTGCAGTAAGCACTAAAATGAATTAATAAAGAAGAGATCATGGTTCTATAATAACCTTTTTCCACCTTAGTACCTTAGAGGAACCTCTAATATAATTTTCAGGCCTTGGATAACCTTTACTAAAATCAGTTCATTGGGGGCCAGGGGGGAAAATGTTCCATATGTTGGCGATAGTAGGACTGCAACCCTCACAGACAGCTAAAGAGATAATTGGGCCATACTGCTGGTTTCACCAAGTAGCATTGGCCATGGGGACTATGCAGACACCATCAGATGGTAGACCAATCATCCACAGTTCAAGAAACCTCTAGGAACCTATGGAAGAACCCTAGTTTTAGAATGGCTGTTTTATAATCATAAGTGAGTAACTAAAGTCTCCATCAAAAGCAAGCTCCTAAGCCACAGTTAAGTCTTTTGTTAAGAGAGCATCCATACTTGCTTGGCTAAGGATGAGAGAAACGTCAATGGGATGGCATGAACAGATGAAAGTGTCTAATCCTTGGCTTGTCAGAAAGACAGTATATGCATAAACACTGAAGCACTCAAAACATAGCACAGACTGTAGCAAATGATAAACCAGATACAACTATAGTAAACTCATAAATTAATCTGGTTGCATTGATTCCTAGTTGGAACACCTTAGGTTTGTGACAGATTCACTAAGAAAATGAACTGTAAAAGTAATACATTAAAAAAAAAAAAAAAAAACACAGTATTATATAATTTGCATATTTCTGAATTCCTTTTTTTTAATGATTTTTAAGTCTGTAGTTGGAGCAAACAATATTTGAAATATACTGTTTAATGTTATTATGGTGCTTCTGTAATCTCCATTTTTATGGTGGCTGCTATCTTTAGATGAGGTCACTAAGAAAAATTAGCAACGGTAATACAAATTTGGTTCGGAAGTTTGATTGTGCAGTTCTGCTGCCAATAAAGAACTTATCCCTAATTACAACATCAGTGAGAAAAACAAAAAAATATACATTTTGCCAAAACATTTAGAGCTTGAATCATGTCCCAAAAGGAAAGTAATAAAGGAAAATGGCTTTATTAACACTGTCTGCTTTCTTTAACAGATATTGATGAGTGCACCGAGAATGTGAATCTGTGTGGAAATGGTCAATGCCTCAACACCCCTGGTGGATACCGATGTGACTGCGATATGGGATTCTTACCAAGCATTGATGGAAAAACATGTGAAGGTGGGGTATCTAAATAATGAAGCAAAGTAGTAATATAAGGAGCATGACTTTGTTTTGAAAATCAAACTCTGGAAAATTTTGTTTTTCATTGCAGTGCTGCAGTGGATATATGCTCCTTAACTTGATTTGCATAGTTGAGAGCCATATTTAAAGTGTATGTATAGCCAAAATTTTGTTGGTGGTTTAGTTAGATTAGGTAAGGTCCAGCAGGGATACAAACTGCAATAAACTTTGACTAATGTCAAAACTAAAAAAACAAAACAAAACAAAACAAAAAAAAAACAGAAATTGGCTCAAAATACACTGTAATGACTTTGTTTTTATAGATGACTTTAATATAGAGATGATATTTTATTTCCAGATATTGATGAATGTGCACTGCCCAACATCTGTGTCTATGGTACCTGCAAGAATCTCCCTGGTCTCTTTAGATGTGATTGTGACATAGGATATGAGCTGGATAGAAGTGGAGGCAACTGTACAGGTAAGATGATTTTGATATCTTTGTTAGAAGACATTGGACTTACAGGCCATGAGTTAACCAGTACTGGATATGCTATTAAAGAAACGTAATAACATGCTGTAAATTTGGTGTAAATTGCATTATAAATATTCTATTTAGTTATAAATAAATTAATTCCCTGACTTTTTATCAAAATTTTAAGTATAGCTGTTCCATATTGTGTAAGAGGAGCAGCAATTATTTAGCACCTGTAGTAAGTTATGCTTACATACCAACATATTACCACAACCAACAGATCCAACTTATTTCCCAGTAATATAATCATTTTTTATGGCAAATACAATCAGACTATTCATTGCATGTGCAACATACTGTAGAACAGATGTATTTTATAGCAATGCCATATCAGCGATTTGTAGTAAACAATTACTCAACATAATCTTAGTTTACAGGCTGTTGCTGCTCAAATGTACCAGGTGAAGTTCAAAACCCCATCAAATACTATGGTACTATTATAATAATGCCTACTAGTGAGTTATAAGTTGTAGAATAATTTGCTTCATGTCTATTTTTTCATTTCTAAATTAATAGCATTGTTTGTAAAATTATTCATTGAAACCTAAATAAAAACTTACAACTTACTTCTATTGGCTCAGACTATCAAGCTGCATAGATACAGTCACACTAGAGATTTTACCAAAATGTAGATCTGATCTCCTGTGCACACTAATAACATGTTCACATAAGTGTTGTAAAGTAATTGAACCGGGTAAAATAAATATCTGGAATGTATTCTGGTGGGAATAAGTTTGCCCTGCCCACTCTATGGGACTGATTTCAGTCTAGCATTGAATGAATGTTAAAGGTATAACAATCCACTTAAAGTTTAGGTCCTGGTTTAGAGTTTATGTGATGTGATATTTTAGCAATTTTTCTTATTACTACTTACCTGTATAAGTCAAGAAAATGTTAGAGGCAGTGTGGACTGCATGGAACAAGGAAGTAAGCTTTCTCCTTGCACTCTGAAGAGAAAGGAATATAGTTAAAGGAGAAGTTTGTGGTTAGTAAAAAAATAAACATACATATGTATTGTACCTCCATGCTGCTGCTGCATTGTGATTTTTTGCCATACTTCTCTTTTAAAGTGGTAGTAAACTCTTATTTTTAACTTTTACCTACAGGTAAACTTATAATAAAGCTTACCAGTAGGTAAAATGAATATCTTCCAAACATACTCTGTTTAGGAGATATTGTCTCTTCTTTAGAGCCGGCACATGCACTCTGAAGGAACCCATGCCATTCCTTGAAAGTATTGTGCTGTGGCCCAGTATGCAAAGCATACTAGCACATTATGACATTACTAGAGATGAGCGAATTATTCAAAATTTCGATTCGGCTGATTCGCCGAATTTGTGGAATAAATTCGATTCGATGCGAATTTATTTGCTGCGAATTTAACTTATAAAAAGGGTTTCTAGGCTTCAGAGAGCCTTTATATTAGTGCAGAACACTGTACCTTTAATTTAAATGCCCTTGGAGTCTGCTGGGGAAGAGAAATAATACTGTCAGTCAGTATGACATGCAGATGAGTGCCATGGATCTTAGAATCACCGCACACTTCACTCATTTGGGCAGTCACGGGGCCAAAACCAGAGTGTGGAGCCACAGTGTGGCGGTGGAGGCAGCAGCAATGGGAGGCCATACAGCACCCTATGACAAAATGGAACCCACCAGCAGTGTGAGGAGACCTGAAAGTGGCACATGGCAGAGTGTGGCGATGGAGACAGCAGCAATGGGAGGCCGTACGGGGACCCATGACACACTCTGGACCTGGCAGCAGCATGAGGAGGCGGTACAGGGGCCCATGGCAAGAAGAAGATGAGGATGAAGAAGAAGAAGTAGGATGAGGATGAAGAAGAAGAAGAAGTAGGTGCATGAGGATGAAGAAGAAGTAGGATGAGGATGAAGAAGAAGAAGAAGAAGAAGAAGTAGGATGAGGATGAAGAAGAAGAAGTAGGATGAGGATGAAGAAGAAGAAGATGAGGATGAAGAAGAAGAAGAAGTAGGATGAGGATGATGAAGAAGAAGAAGAAGTAGGATGAGGATGAAGAAGAAGAAGAAAAAGTAGGATGAGGATGAAGAAGAAGAAGTAGGATGAAGATGAAGAAGAAGAAGAAGAAGAAGTAGGATGAGGATGAAGAAGAAGTAGGATGAGGATGAAGAAGAAGGATGAGGATGAAGAAGAAGGTAGGATGAGGAGAAGAAGAAGGATGAGGATGAAGAAGAAGAAGTAGGATGAGGATGAAGAAGAAGGATGAGGATGAAGAAGAAGAAGAAGAAGAAGTAGGATGAGGATGAAGAAGAAGAAGTAGGATGAGGATGAAAGAAGAAGAAGGATGAGGATGAAGAAGAAGAAGTAGGATGAGGATGAAGAAGAAGGATGAGGATGAAGAAGAAGAAGAAGTAGGATGAGATGAAGAAGAAGAAGAAGAAGTAGGATGAAGAAGAAGAAGAAGTAGGATGAGGATGAAGAAGAGAAGAAGGAAGTAGGATGAGGAATGAAGAAAAGAAGAAGAAGTAGGATGAGGATGAAGAAAGAAGAAGAAGTAGGATGAGGATGAAGAAGAAGAAGAAGAAGTAGGATGAGGATGAAGAAGAAAAGAAGAGGAAGATGAAGAAGAGGTAGGATGAGATGAAGAAGAAGAAGAAGAAGTAGGATGAGGATGAAGAAGAAGAATAAGTAGGATGAGGATGAAGAAGAAAAAGTAGGATGAGGATGAAGAAGAAAAGAAGTAGGATGAGGATGAAGAAGAAGAAGAAGTAGGATGAGGATGAAGAAGAAGAAGAAGTAGGAAGTAGAGGATGAAGAAGAAGAAGAAGTAGGATGAGGATGAAGAAGAAGAAGAAGAAGAAGAAGAAGTAGGATGAGGATGAAGAAGAAGAAGAAGTAGGATGAGGATGAAGAAGAAGAAGAAGTAGGATGAGGATGAAGAAGAAGAAGAAGAAGTAGGATGAGGATGAAGAAGAAGAAGAAGAAGTAGGATGAGGGATGAGAGAAGAAGAAGAAGTAGGATGAGGATGAAGAAGAAGAAGAAGTAGGATGAGGATGAAGAAGAAGAAGTAGGATGAGGATGAAGAAGAAGAAGAAGTAGGATGAGGATGAAGAAGAAAGAAGAAGTAGGATGAGGATGAAGAAGAATTCCAGTGCAGCAAAAAGTGTATCTGCAGAGAGCTCCGCTATTTCTGACAGTTCTCTGACAGTTCCTTCACATTTACAGCGGTTGAAAAACATTGTATCTATTTGTTTCCGAATAAAAACATCTGTATCCTAAATGGAAACAAATAGATACAATGTTTCAACTGCTGTAAATGTGAAGGAGGAACTGTCAGAGAACTGTCAGAAATAGCGGAGCTCTCTGCAGGGACACTTTTTGCCGGCTGTAGAAGGGATGAAAATCGGCCGATCGGGGAAAATTCAATTCGCGCATCCGAAGTTTGCTAATATTCGGATTCGACACGAATCGAATTTTTCCTAATATTCGAAACGAATTCCACTTCGCCAGGTACGATTCGCTCATCTCTAGACATTACCTTGCAGGGATCTTTTTATTTTTTTTCTGTGGTTTAGTACCGCTTAAAGAGAAAATGGGCAAGCAGCTTCTCAGTTCATACCTAGCAGGGTGGGGCAATTCCCTGCTATTGCAGAAACAAAATATGGGCTCAGCTTTGCTAACAATCAAGGAGAATAATAATGTAATTGGTAACTTTATCAAGTTGCTATGTTCTAATATATATATACAGTATATATATGTGTGTGTGTGTAATATATATATATATATATATATATAATTTATTTTTTTAAATTTTTTTTTTTATATAATAACAAACAGTTTACGTAGAACCTTTCAAACTAGAGATAGTCTCTGCAGTTACAAAACAATTCAGGACAATTAGGAGCTGGTGAGAATTTAAAATCTAAAAAGGGAGGGGCAAGTGAAACAAAATATATTAGCTGTGTGGGTGTGAGTTCATGAAGAAAGAAAACGTTCAGTTTTTAGGTAGAGACTGGATAGACTTCCATGAATAGATGAATTTTCATAGATTGTCTAACGGCAAACAAAGTAGGGGATAGCTGGAGAGCTTGGAGTAGGGAGTGCCAGAGGATAGGAGAGGCTCTGAGGAAGTCCTAGAGGTAAGCACAGGAGGAGATGAAGAGAAAGTTAAAGAGCAGGAGGTTTTGGGAGGAGAGAAGAGGTTGATTTAGAAGATATTTGGAGACAACGTTGATGATGTAGCTTGAGGCAGCATTGTGGAAGTCTTGTATGTTGTAAGTTTTTTAAATTTTATTTGTTGGGTGAGCAGGAACCAGTGGAAGGATTGACAGAAGGGAGCACCAGACACTGAACAGTTGGAAAGTTGGATGAGTCTGGGATCAGCATTAATGATAGATTAAAGGGGGGAATAGCCTGTGTAGACATAGGCCACACAAGGAGAAAAGTTGCATATAATGCAATCTTTCTGTTTCGATTTCAATCCTAGTTTGATTACATTTTTAACGGGCATATTGGCTGAGTCTGTAACCAGCATTTCTGTATTTTTAGAGGGTAAACTTGCATGGCAGAATTTTCACACTTTGCCAGGGAAAAGCAGAGACTTTGCCTGGTAGTTTTGGACGGCGGTGGCTTGGTTAATTCCATATACCTTGAGCTGTTTACTGGGGTAAGGTAACCTAAATCGAGTACCAGTATTAGCTGTATTTGCTGCACCGCATTTTATTTTCAGTTGTTAGTCTATTTTATTCTGTTTACTATTACATATTTTGTCAGCACATTTGGTGAGTCAGTTATTTAAATCAGTTTGCATGCTGAAACAGTTTTGAAAATGTTTTATAATGGATGTTTTCTTGTATTACAGATGTGGATGAATGTGCTGATCCAACAACCTGTATTAGTGGTACATGCTCAAATACTCCTGGTAGCTACAATTGCGAGTGTCCACCTGACTTCCAGCTAAACCCCACTCGAGTTGGATGTGTCGGTATGATCCCTTTATCATTGCATGCACAATTGTCAGGAATTACACATTAGTAATAGGAAAAAACATATGCATTTATATACATTTTAACTGATGGACATAATAGAATTTAGTTGGAAAGAAAGATGTCTCTCTTTAATAAACAAAACCTTTATATAGCAATCTCTGGATTTACTTTTCTTTCAGTTAAGAAGTACTTTAAATTAATTTTTGTTGGCATAGGAGTTGCAGACAGAACTGTCATTAGCCATGGTTTTAACTCTTAAGTGAGGATAGCAAAGATTCCCCCAAGCTTCTTTTAATAAACGTCGCAAAAACCTAAAAATACTATTTTTATTAGGTTTTATACATCTGGTAAATAGCATTTTTAATACAAAACAAAAATAATGAATGCCTGCAAATGTAAAGCCTTTACCTTTACAAGCGATAAAAAAAAAATCAGCAAAAATGCTAAGAGAAGAGGGGCATGAAGGAATTAACTAAAACTAAGTTAGGGGTAAGTAAGTCTCTAAAATTCTGTTAATTTTTTTCTAAACAGTAGTAAAACAAGAGTAGTAGCTTTTATTCATAAATTAATGCCCAATAGGAGCAATATGTCAAACTGATAGTTTAGTCCTGTATATCACACAGGGAGAGTTGCTGTATCTGTGTGATCATTGACTGGGGTTAGGATTTTACCCACAATCTAACATAGGACAGTCAAACTGGTGTGTCCCATGTCAGAAGTATTTGCCCAGCCGTAATTATTTTCCCTGTGGTTTATTTCCTATGATTTCCAGCTCCATCTAGTGGCCTTAATGCATTGTTTTCCTGAAATACCTTAGTCAGGAAAATACCACACCGCGTTAAGTTGACGATCATAGGAAATAAACCTATTGGACAAATATGGGGAACTTTTAATATGGCTGGGTGAAAACTTGTGACATTTGTCGAGCAAAGACCCTTAAATGTTAAAGTGGAGCTCCAAGCAAACAGCAAAATACACTTTAAATTACATATACAGTCAGGTCCATAAAATATTGGGACATCGACACAATTCTAAAATGTTTGGCTCTATACACCACCACAATGGATTTGAAATGAAACAAACAAGATGTGCTTTAACTACAGATTGTCAGCTTTAATTTGAGGGTATTTACATCCAAATCAGGTGAACGGTGTAGGAATTACAACAGTTTGAATATGTGCCTCCCACTTGATAAGGGACCAAAAGTAATGGGACAATTGGCTTCTCAGCTGTTCCATGGCCAGGTGTGTGTTATTCCTTCATTATCCCAATTACAATGAGCAGATAAAAGGTCCAGAGTTCATTTCAAGTGTACTATTTGCATTTGGAATCTGTTGCTGTCAACTCTCAAGATGAGATCCAAAGAGCTGTCACTATCAGTGAAGCACGCCATCATTAGGCTGAAAAAAAAAAAACAAACCCATCAGAGAGATAGCAAAAACATTAGGCGTGGCCAAAACAACTGTTTGGAACATTCTTATAAAGAAGGAATGCACCGGTGGGCTCAGCAACACCAAAAGACCCAGAAGACCACGGAAAACAACTGTGGAGGATGACCGAAGAATTCTTTCCCTGGTGAAGAAAACACCCTTCACAACAGTTGGCCAAATCAAGAACACTCTCCAGGAGGTAGGTGTATGTGTGTCAAAGTCAACAATCAAGAGAAGACTTCACCAGAGTGAATACAGAGGGTTCACCACAAGATGGAAAACCATTGGTGAGCCTCAAAAACAGGAAGGCCAGATTAGAGTTTGCCAAACGACATCTAAAAAAGCCTTCACGGTTCTGGAACAACATCCTATGGACAGATGAGACCGAGATCAACTTGTACCAGAGTGATGGGAAGAGAAGAGTATGGAGAAGGAAAGGAACTGCTCATGATCCTAAGCATACCACCTCATCAGTGAAGCATGGTGGTGGTAGTGTCATGGCGTGGGGCATGTATGACTGCCAATGGAACTGGTTCTCTTGTATTTATTGATGATGTGACTGCTGACAAAAGCAGCAGGATGAATTCTGAAGTGTTTTGGGCAATATTATCTGCTCATATTCAGCCAAATGCTTCAGTACTCATTGGATGCCGCTTCACAGTGCAGATGGACAATGACCCAAAGCATACTGCAAAAGCAACCAGAGTTTTTTAAGGGAAAGAAGTGGAATGTTATGCAATGGCCAAGTCAATCACCTGACCTGAATCCGATTGAGCATGCATTTCACTTGCTGAAGACAAAACTGAAGGGAAAATGCCCCAAGAACAAGCAGGAACTGAAGAGAGTTGCAGTAGAGGCCTGGCAGAGCATCACCAGGGATGAACCCCAGCGTCTGGTGATGTCTATGCGTTCCAGACTTCAGTCTGTAATTGACTGCAAAGGATTTGCAACCAAGTATTAAAAAGTGAAAGTTTGATTTATGATTATTATTCTGTCCCATTACTTTTGGTCCCTTAACAAGTGGGAGGCACATATGCAAAATGTTGTAATTCCTACACCGTTCACCTGGTTTGGATGTAAATACCCTCAAATTAAAGCTGACAGTCTGCAGTTAAAGCATATCTTGTTCGTTTCATTTTAAATCCATTGTGGTGGTGTATAGAGCCAAAAATGTTAGAATTGTGTCAATGTCCCAATAATTATGGACCTGACTGTATGTCCACTGTTTTATCTACCAAAAGATTTATGGTTCTGTACAATCAGTCTTGTGATTTACACATCTAATTGGACAGAAGTTATGATGCTGATGCATTGTTTCATGAAGAAGCTGGAAGGGGAGATGTGACATAGGAAGCTGAATGACTGAACTGGAAAATAAGCCGGGTCTCTTGCCTGGCTGTGCAGATATGTTTAAATTGTAAGATTGACTGTACAAAATTATTAGTTCTTTGGCAAGTGAAAAAGTAAAAATGTTTTTTAAATGCATCTTTAGCTGTTTCTTTAGAAGTTGCCTTTCATGGTTAAGTTTAAAGGCTAAAGCTGGTTAAACACTAATAGATTTTTGGACAAATGTTCATAAGAAAATTCTCATTCGAGACAAGTGTTCAAAAGTACTTCAAAAACGTTTGCTTTTAACATTCCCTTTTGGGTGAGTAAACTTTCTTGAATGAAAACCACATACACTATTAGAAATTCATAAATTCTGGAAAATGTTTCCATCCTGCTCCTTCAAATTTTCTCATCACTGTGGTTGAAAATGAACGTCGATTTGACCCCACTAATGATTAGAAAATGTAACAGACATTCTTAAAACAACATTTTTTGAGCAACATTCTACTGGTGTATGTCCAGCTTAAGTTATGGATAAGGCAGGCCATAGATGGGTGATACGTTATTTCATTCAAATAGTGGGTTGAATGAAAAGAATTGATATGATTTCCCCATTCACACATTTGAGGTGGATGGGGAAATCTTCCCTGCTAAGCTATTGTATTCTGACTGCAGGTAGATTTCACCATGAACAGAATACTGTGATCAGTGCTGCAGTCTATAGCCTGCAGCGCTGATTGAGCGGAGAAAAATCCAAACAGAGTGGTTGTACAGAAGTTGATTGGTAGGTCAACTGCTGTACAACCACAGGGAGCATACATGGATCAATTTGCAGCCAGTCCCTGCTGAACCAGCTGAATTTCAGTTCATGTATGGCCAGCTTTATGTCTTATGTTAGGTATTTAGGAAGTTCTGTTAAAAGTTGGGGGTCAGGTAGAGGGAGGGTTAGGTGACATGGTCTGCTGTATGATTAGGGAATAGGTCAATTGGCTTCCGTGGAAAATTTGTTCTTTCTGGATAGAAAGCCCAGGACTGATCATTACTAGGTAAGAAAACTAATGTACCAATAAAATATTTGTTTATATGTTTGACACATGCAGAACATAAGCATTACATTTGTTTTTATGATAAAATATACATGGTATGAAGTGTATTTGTAAAATAAAAACTGAAGTAATATTGTATCATTTCTATTCCAAAGACACTCGGTCTGGCAACTGCTACCTAGAGGCAAAGCCGCGCGGAGATAACGGAGACCTGTCCTGCAGTGTTGAGATTGGCGTTGGTGTATCCAAGGCTTCATGCTGTTGCTCACTTGGGAAGGCCTGGGGGAACCCCTGTGAACACTGTCCTCCAGTGAATTCTAGTAAGTCATTTAATTTTGTGAAAAATTTGTTGCTACCTTCTTTATTATAGTGCAGTAAATAACTATTAATTGTAGTAAAACAATAATGCTGCCTGAAACGTTTTCAGTCACATATATACATACACTGTTCTTTGCTTTATTGGATAAACCTGATTTGTTTTTTTGTTTTTTGTTTTTTATTAGTAGATTAATTTTACCTACAAAGCCTGGTTTGGTCACACAAGTGCAGATCAGTCCTCTCTAGACCTCTGTTATGAGACGTTATGAAGGATTTGGCCCTCTGCAATGTTGTAATTCAGATATAGGCAACTTGGGTGGATACTATCAATCCATATTAGTGGGGGAAGAGTCAAAGAAGTCATAGAAATAATAAATATGAAATGAAACAAAATACAAATACAAAATATATTACTACTTAAATCTTCAAAAACATTGCCTAAATGTAAGTGCCAATGTCTGTATTTTTTATAAGTTAGTGGCTGATTGTTGGCAAAGGAGGTCTAAAACTACATTTCTATGCAGAAACCTTAATCTGTATGGCGATCTTTTGGCTGAGTTTACATGAATGATTGGAGGCCTGAAAACAGTTGTTTTAAATACATTAGCATTTATTCAGCAAAGCAATGTAAAAGGAAGTAACCCAACTAGCTAAACTAAGCACTTTGCAAATGTTTGGCCTAAAGGCTTGTACAGAGGTAAATGGCCCAGTTTACAAGTCATTGTTGGGAGATGCAGGGTGTCGCAAAGTGTAAACCCAAACACTATTTATAATATTTGGGTCAGAAATGCCTATCATAATCTTTTTCATCCACTAACAGGTCCTTCCTCTAGGAGAGCGGTCCAGCTGCCAAAATAGCATCCTGGGCTGGGTGCTCTCCTGCATCCACAGTAGTGTGAACATAGCCTTTAAACCTGTTCTTCTTGCTTTTATAAAGTTTTGAGCTTTCCAAATCCAGGCTTATCTGTTTATCAGTTCTGTACAAAACCTAATTACCATCAGATGTTTAATGCACTGTATGGCATTGCAAAATAATGTTCTGGCTCACAATCCACAACTATCTGAAAATGAATTGCATTAAGAGTAGCTAATTGTGCAAGAAATTAATACACATTTTGTTTTACAGCTGATTATAAAGTTCTGTGTCCAGGAGGAGAAGGATTCAGACCAAATCCTATTACAGTTATTTTAGAAGGTAAACATATTGCTTTGAAGAGATCTACTAGTAACATACTGTATATCAATGATCTTAATGGCCATGTCCAAGAAAGAAATGAACCACCTCCCACCCCTCTCTTCTACGCCCCCCACCTGATTGCAGTAGTAAAAGAAAACACTATCTAAATGCCCTTTTTTAACTTACCTAAAGCCACAATCATGTGACACCGCCAGCCCAAGTCTTCTCCTCTTGTATTTACTTGCTGGAAGAGTCCTTCTTCGAATGTCCACATCACTGCCTGTTAGAGGTGGACACTTCCTTTTAAATGGCTGCTGGTGGGTTCCTTTGAGGAAAGAGAAGAGGACAACATCATCACAGGGAGGAGGCGGGGGACCAGTGATCTCAGAGTACCTTTGCAGAACTGGAACAGCAGCCCTTGCACCGGAATTGACAGCTGTGGTACAGCCTTCATCAAAGGCTTTGCTTCCAACATCTTCCAGGTGTCTTGGATGTCTGGATCTTTACTGCTCTCATTAGTACCTCCCACCAACCCCTTTGTGATTATTGTGTCCTGCACAGACATAAGACCTGGCAGGAGGAACCACATTGTGCACAGCAGGAACAGACTTTCAACACTCCTTGAATTGTCAAAGGCTTAAGACTTTGCACAAGACTGCATTGCTTAAACATAGTGAGTTTGGACTAACCACCCTTGAGAAAGGTAAGTATTTACAGTCTTCCATTGCAAGGGCCATTCTTTGGATTCTTTTGGGGAAATGATAGAGCCGCTATAATTTGTAATCAAAATATATTAAGTGAATACCTTGGTGATTTAACAACAAGGATTTAACATTTTTCTGCTCTCTTTTGTTATTGACATGTTTTGTCTAGGCAGTGATGGGTTTGTAGCTCTTTCAAATTGTTGTACTACAAATTTGGAGAGCTGAACATTAATCAGCCAACACAAACAGTTATCACTACTGGCCAGACAGTTTTATACCTGGCTACTTTTATGGCATCAAATATGGCGCCATTGAGACTCTGTGATGCTCTGTGAGAAATACTTTAATAAGAACATATTAATGATAATAATCTGTACATAGTAATAATGAAAACATGAACTCTGTGACTGGACAAGAAAAAGCTTAAAAATCGCAAATAGCAGCCAGGAATGAAATAACAAAGTATAATGTAATGTCTTCTAGATATCGATGAATGCCTTGAGTTGCCAGGTCTCTGTCAAGGTGGAAAGTGCATAAATACATTTGGAAGTTTCCAGTGCCGTTGTCCACCAGGATTTTTCCTCAATGAAGATACTCGTGTTTGTGATGGTATGTAGATTCATTACTTTGTACAGAAATTTTGCATTTACCCAAGACATTGGTCCACCCTAGGTTCACACTCCTGCATTTGCTAAATTTAACTTATAACATAGAAACTACAGGCAGTACTTTCTGATTTGCCACAAAATGTTACTGTAGAAGTGTCACGAAAGCTGTCTCTGTTGACAGCCAGCAATAAACTGTGTAGTGTTAGTGATCAATGGAATGCAGCGTTAAATGATGAAAGTGACAAGTGCATATAGTGAGGCGCAAAATATTTGCGTTAAAACGTGCTAACATTAAATAAAAGTGTCATCAAATGATGACGAAATAATTTGTGAATGCATGATGCAATAGTTCCACATAAAAGTAGTAATTCAAATAACAAATGAAAAATCTTGAAATACATATAAAAAAGAGTCCAAAAAGTGATCTGTCAAATTCCGTCCTTGTGACTTCAGTGATAAGGATTTGAAGTATGCTTGCACTCACCGGAAGCGCAATGGTAATGCGCATGTAATTATATCTGAGGAAACCTTGGTGGACATCAGGGCTCTGGCAGGGACAGGGGGCTTCACTGGTACACACTCAGCACAGAGAAAAAGCACTCCAGACCTCACAAACCGGACCCTCACAGCACATAGGGACAGCTCCTCTCATGTATCTCCACCACAGGAATAAGTTGCCAAAAGGATAATGATCCACCTTAAATGGCTCATACACAAAGCCACAAAATGAAAGTTTTTGGATAGTGTAGTATTTTTATTAAGGTATATATAAAGTAAGGGATATAAAAAATATCCAGATCATGAAAGAATTGTGGAATGCTTACAAGCTATAAAGATGGCTGCCGGCCTTCCATGCGGCCTCGGCGGCATGATGTCAGTGCGGAAAGGCTCCTCCCTCAGACAGATAGGCAGAGCAAAGGGAGACAGTCAGGCTTGGTACCAAATTGAGAGGCACAAGCATAATTCCAAGTACAGGCTGAGGTCAGAATTCAGGAAGCAAATACAGAAGCAAAGGCAGTAGTTAGGCTTGCACAGTAAAACAGAACCTGCTGATTAGACACTGGATGGAAGTTCTGAGTTCCCTATATAGATAGTTAATGAGGTTCAGGTGTCATTGCAATGTGACCTTGCTGCAGGTTACAGTAGTGACCTACAGATGGGAAAATGTCAAGACTGATTATCCATTCTCTAGCTTGATTTATGACATTTAATCATGAAATGGACCTCATATGGTCTAATCCATTTAAAATGAGCAAAGAAAAGTTCAACAGCTTTTGGGTGAAACCATCACAGACAGGTCATGGTACATCGCACATTGCCACATAATTCTATTTTTTAAAATCATTTCACACAAAAAGTGGTATAAAAAAAGGAAACTTCCATTTCAAACTGTTGCTTCAGGAAAGCTTGCATTTTGGAGTCCCCATGTTTTTCTTTCTTGATAAATCCATGTACCTAAAACATATTGCTTAGTCATATTGGAATACAACCTTGTTTTTTCTTCTTACACGTTTCTTACAACATTGGCAGCTGCTCACACATAGCCTTCTTTGCAGATAATTTTCACATTTGCTGGAAACTTTTGAAAGGCTTGCAAGGAAGAACAAACAGATGTGTGAGTTCTTTTACTTATGTATCTCTGTATTATTTTTATTTAAGATGTGAATGAATGTGACCAGCCTGGAATTTGTGGCCCTGGAACATGTTATAACACTGTTGGCAATTATACCTGTATATGTCCACCTGATTACATGCCAGTAAATGGAGGAAACAACTGTATGGGTAAGTGGCATTATTTTACAGATTTGATTTTTTTTAGATATATAAAATAAGTAAGCTAAACATAAATAAAATGTATTACTTTCATAGGACACATCTTCAAGGAAGCTGCCAAATAGCGATGAGGTTCTGGTTTGCTACTAGCATGGGTTCTTGGTGAATCCTACATGTTCAAAATTCAGGGTCCCAGCAGATTTATGTGGGATTTTGCCAAATCAAATTATCTGTAACCGTAATGCACTGCCTGGCCTTGACCTTAGGAGATCTAACTTAAAAGGGCCTTTTGAATATGCCAGATCCCTCGTTATAAGAGGGTGACATCACAACAACCATGTTGACTTTGTCTGAGATGTTCTTTATTTGAGAAGGGGATTGCTGCTGACAAACTGACAAAAAGACATTATTGTAGAGCTTGTCAGCATTTGCAGGTCTGTTAAAGCAGACCTTCATCTATTTTCTTACAGTCCTTTCTCTTGCTTCCTCCTCACTCCTCTTGCACAATTGCAAGAAAAGAAAACCCCCAAAATATAGAGTACATACATTCTTTTTCTTCTTAAATTCTGTCCTTAATCCTCGCTTAGGCAAAGATGAAGCATTCAGACCTCATGCATGTACATACATGCTGCAGGTCTCTGCATATGTAAGATCCTACAAACTGCCACTTGGGATGTCTTTGCCATGCATCCCAGGAAGCAGTTTGTGGGATCGCACGCATGTACAGAATCCAAGGGCGGACTGACCATTCGGAAACTCGGGCACTGCTCGAGGGCCCAGGGTCAGTAAGGGGTCCCATGAGATGCCCCTGGTACCTTTCATAGGCTTTTTTGGGTGTGGTTTGAGTGTGGGCGAGCACACGGGGGCCCTATGATCCCCTATTGCTCGGGGGCTCCATGAGTTGTCAGTCCACCCCTGACAGAAACCTGCAGGACTTCTGCCAAGTCCCATACACCTGATAAGGACCCCAGGTAGTGTTTCTGTGCAATCTCTTTTAGCATCCCCATCAAGTAGAAAGAGGTTCATGGAATCAGGAAGTTTATGGCCTGTGCCACCCCATGGTGACAGATACCAAGCTGGCATTATGGCATTTAAGGGTATGTTCTAAGTTGTTTCCAGCAGTGTAGCTCAGTCAGCTATTGAGGGGAAACCAAAACAAAGAGGGTCATTTAAATCTTTGTTCTTCTGTGTTATGGAAAACACAGCCTGCATGGGTTTTGTGGTGTTACTGTATGCTTTGGAGTCCATAGAATTTGGAGCAGCATTTAGAATTTAGTGTACAGCATTTCAACACAATATGTGATATGCCCAGCAAATAGAAACTCAGGCAAGGAAATCCAGCAGAACATGTGCTTAATCATGTTAAAAGACACATGCATTTTTACTTTGCATAATGTGAATCCAGCTATAATGGCATGGAAAACCAAGGTGCACAGCCCTTGGCTGTTCCCAATTAGCAGTGTAGGATGTGAATCTAAGCTACATTTATTTACACGGGCAGCCAATGGGAGAATGCAGGGATGAACGAAAAATGGATTAAAGACAGCAAGACACAATCTAGTCCCCCTAACTGTTATTCGTATATTTGGGTTACTTAAATATAAATACAGCAGTTTATCAGGTCAGGCAAGCCAATTCTTCCATCAGTACATGGGGTTTGCAGTTTTGATTGTTCGGTTTTTATTTTTGTTTGCACGTCAGATTGAACCTAAAGATAAATTCCAAAAATATTATTTTATGTGTAAATATGTTTATGGGATTTTCCAAACCTCTAAAACTCATACCCACACGGAAGAAAAATATATTTGAAAAATATTCTTCCCAAATATATTGCCATATATTTGAAATGCTACAATTTTGGCCATATTCAATATATTTCAAAATATGTTTCAATAAAAAAATAAATAAATAAATAATTAAAAAAAAAAATACACATACATACACACACTGCATGTTGAAATGCATTTTTTATTACAAAATATATGAGAAATATTTTTAAAAAGTACATTTCAAACATACTGTATGTCTTTAAAAATACAAATCTACATTTTTGGAATGCATGTACAAATATTTTTAAAATATATGTTAAAATTACTTTTTTATATGTTAAAAAAAATCTGAAGAATATATTTAAAATGTATTTTTAAAATATATTCTTCAGATTTTTTTTAACATATAAAAAAGTAATTTTAACATATATATTTATATATATATTTGTAAATGCATTCCAAAAATGTAGATTTGTATTTTTAAAGACATACAGTATATTTTAAATGTATTTTTAAAAATATTTTTCATATATTTTGTAATTATTATTATTATACAGTATTTATAAAGCGCCAATGGTTCGCTCAGCGCTGTACATTACAAAGGGGGACAGAACATGTGACAGAACAATACCAATACAATGCAAAACATGAGGGGATTGAGGGCCCGGCTCTTTCGAGCTTACAATCTAGGAGGGAGGGGATGGTGGCACAGGAGGAGATAGCTGTGGGGGATGGGGTGGTAGGAAGAGTGGAGGAGGTCGGCAGGTTAGCAGGGGGTGGGGTAGGCTTCCCTGAAGAGGTGGGTTTTTTTAGGGTGCGCCTAAAGGAGAGGAGAGTAGGTGATAATCTGATGGGTTATGGCAGGGAGTTCCAGAGGATGGGTGACACCCTGGAGAAGTCCTGGAGGTGGGCATGGGAGGAGGAGACCAGGGAACTACCAGGGAGAACCAGGGAGTGTGCGTGCTGGGCGGTACTTGGATATTAGGTCAGTGATGTAGTACGGGGCAGTATGGTGGACAGCTTTGTACGTCAGTGTTAGGATTTTGAATTTGATCCATTGCGCAATCGGAAGCCAGTGGAGGGATTGGCAGAGGGGGGGTGGCGGAGACAGAGCGGTTGGAAAGGTGAATGAGTCTGGCAGTCATATTCAGGATCGACTGAAGTGGGGATAGCCAGCGGCGAGGCAGGCCAGTGAGGAGGGAGTGGCAGTAGTCGAGTCGTGATATGATGAGGGAGTGGATGAGCTGTTTAGTGGTTTCTGGGGTTAGGAACGTAATAAAAATGCATTCAACATGCAGCATATATATATATATATATATATATATTTAAATATATTTTGAAATATATTGAATATTGCCAAAATTGTAGCATTTCAAATATATGGTAGTATATTTGGGAAGAATATTTTTAAAATATATTTCAAATATATTTTTCTTCTATATGGGTATAAATGTTGAAGAATTAAACAATTGCGTCCATTCTGGATACTCACCAAACCACATCTGCTAAGGTTGGGAGTGGACACACCTACACAACATGCCTCCCGCTAACTGTCAATGATCATTAAACAAAACAGACACAAACAACATTTTCAAATGGAGTCATTAACATTTTAGTGGCATATTTTCTTTGATCTCTCTCTCTGTGATCACTGAGATTAGCATGAAGGTAGCAAGTCATGTGCACAAGATATCATTTCTCCACCATATGAAGAACTATAAAGACAATAATATATATCATACCCCATCAATGTACTTTAATAATTTATTCACTATTGTAGAATATTTATATGAATTATTCAGTAAGCAAGTTTTATGATATCATTATTATTATTAGTAGTAGCAGTGTTAGGACTAGCAGTAGTGTTATATTTGAAATTTGATAATAAAAAATGAATGAGTTGTTTGTCCTGCAAGTGAAAAATAAGTGATGTATTCAGCAGTGTGATTAAAAGTACACTTTATAAGTAAGGAGTAGCATACAGCCCATTCCCTACAGCTTCTCTCTTATCCACATTAGTCTCTTGACCCAGTATTTACGCAGCAGATGATTTCATTTACATTAGTATCCACAGATTTGTTGAAATAACAGATTGTGGTTTGCCAGATCTATAAACAGTTATGAAAGTACATCCAAGAATATGTAAAACTAGGAATATAAATAGAGACAGGCTTTATTAGGATTACATTTCTCAACCAGCATTAAGTACTCACACCTTCACAGTAATAAAATGTACAAAAGGAGGAATTTACATCGCACATCATGTATTAGAAAGGATTGCCCTTTACAGTGCAGTTTTCTGCTATTTCACCTAAGAAAATATTTTATCCTCATGCTGGTTGTCATGCTTTCTTTTAGCCCCTCATCATATTAATAATAATAAACAGCTGGATGATAAAGTGGTTATAAAGTTCATGAAGCTATTATTTTTTTCATGATTTTTATTGTTAGACATGAGAAGAAGTTTGTGCTTCAGAAATTATTATGCTGACAATCAGACTTGTGATGGAGAATTACTTTACAACATGACGAAAAAAATGTGTTGCTGTTCCTACAATATTGGGCGCGCTTGGAATCGACCTTGTGAAGAGTGTCCATTGCCGAGCACTGGTGAGTACGATGTAACTTTTGTGATGTCTTCTAATAATACACAGTTATATACACTCCCCTTCTACACTTGCTTTGCATGGGAACACAGTTTTAATCATGGGCTTGAAATGTAACCAAACAGACTTTGAAAACATAAGATTGTCAGTGCCAGGAGGATGAGATTTGCTGAAACCAAAGAGTTTTTGGATTTTCAAAGGCTAGAATCTCCAAAGGTTATGGAGTGAATGGGCTAGGACATAAGATGCCTCATTAAACTTATTGCTTGAAGACTTTGACTCTGTTATCTAAAAAGTATGCAGACAAGGACTTCCAACTGTTCCTCAACTTTCCTAACATACATACTCGTTCCGTGGCATGGAAGTGCTCAGGTCAGTTGATTAGTATAACGGAATGAAATAAACATTTTCAGAAGGAGGGCAGCAGTGGGAAGGATATAAATTTCCTTCCCATGCAGGTTTACTTTAAAGGTACATGCATGTCAAAATGAAAAGTGAAACTTTGAAATTCTTACAGGAAGCTTAGCCTGCCTATTTTCTACTTCAGTTTTTTCAAGCAATTTTTCATCATTGTGCCGCAGTACACCCCAGTCCCCTTTGTCTTTGTGATCCTGGAATGCGCGGGCTTGAGATGCTATAACATCAATTACAGGATTATTGGGAAAGCCTCCTGTGAACAATAAAAGCTGAACCTTGAGACACCTACAGGGAGTACAGACAACCTGCTCAGTACTTCAGTTTATTATCCAAGCATAACTGAACTGTAGTGTATCAGTACTGCTTTGTCCTTTTGTGAATAACCTGGTGATCCAAGAATCCCCTGCATAAGAGCTAATCTCAAACACACACCTTTTAAGCTCCTTGCTGTCTTTCATATACAGCCTGATGAAAGCAAAACTCAGTACTAAGAGGTCTTTCCCTTTTATCAATCACATTCAAACTTGCATTGGAAGTTTTAGTGAGATTGGTAATAGAGGAAACACAGCTTAAGCACAATGAAGTACAATTGTACTGCACTCCTACTTCCCTGTTAGATTGCCTGTGAACATCTTACTACAATGGATCACACAGAAATCAGATTAAGGTAGACTTAGTGAATTTATTACACAATTGGGCTGTTTGCTGGATAGCATTGGTAGCTCATTGGTTTACTTTTTCTTACTGTTTATAATTGCTTTTTAACATTTGTGGATCATGGTTTTGCTGCATATTTCAGGACCATTAATGATCCAATAAGAATAAGCCTGCAACAGTAGAATAGGGAGTTTTGATGAATGTTCAGTTTGATTGATCAATCATTCCTCCAAAGAATATGTACTAGAAAAGAATGCTCTTTGGAACAAGGGTTCATTCTATATTGTTAAAGCAGTGAATGGTATGCCAATCTAATTTAATAATTTTCCTTTGCAGATGAATTTGCTGGACTTTGTGGAAGTGCTCGTCCTGGTTTTGTCATTGATATCTACACTGGACTGCCAGTTGGTAAGTTGACCATTGATTAACATGAAGATTAAATAACTTATGTAGAGCGTAGAGTGCTAGAGCTAATATGTCCCATTTGTTCCCTTAGATATTGATGAATGCAGAGAAATTCCTGGTGTTTGTGAGAATGGAGTTTGTATAAACATGGTGGGAAGCTTCCGATGTGAATGTCCAATGGGATTTTTCTACAATGACAAGTTACTCATCTGTGAAGGTAAGAAGACATTTAGCTGGTTTTCTTATGCACAGCAGTACAATGCTTTTTCTCAAATGGCTGACAGGGATCACGTCTAAGCTCTGGTATGCCACTTAATTTTGTAGACATAGCTATTACAGAAACCTTAAACATTGTAAATATCACTTCTTTCATCTCCAAGGAGGTTGCTTGGCAGTGGGAATATTATTAAACAAGGTGATATTTTAAGCCCCCCTTGTTACAAAGCAGTTTGGAATCTACTGGAGAAATTTAAAGTGTCCAGAAGAAGCTTTTGGCTATAATGGCACCTGGGCTTGTGTTCTCAATTCTTTGATAGGGTGTCATTGAGGAACATATTGCCACTGGTTTTGTATAATTCCACACAACGGTGACAATGCACATGTCCTTTTCTGCCCTTCCTACAGCCTTTATGTTCTTTTTCAGGCACAGAAACCTAACATGTTTCGAAAGCTTGCATCTTTAGGGCTCTTGCCCAGTATAAATTCTATACATTGACATTGAGGTTTATTTACTAAAGCTGGAGAGTGCAAAATCTGGTGCAGCTTTGCATAGTAACCAGTCAGCTTTCAGTTTTTGTTTTGTCAAAGCTTAATTGAACAAGCTGAAGTTAGAAGCTGATTGGCTGCCATGCTCAGCTGCACCAGATTTTGTATTCTCCCGTTTTAGGAAATCAACCCCATTAGTGGCTGTGCGCAATGGGCATACAACAGCACTCCTGTAAACAGTTATGTAGCATACAGGCGCATTCCAAGTATAGAAGTTGGGTGACAAAGGCTATCCCCCAAACTTCAGTCTTTCTGCATTGATCAATGGCTAATACAGTACAACATTCTGCTTCTGCAGTTGCACCTAAAAAACAGTTGAAAAAAATGCAGAGACTGTGTTCCCTTTATAGAAATAGTGTAGTTTTACCCATCGTATGAATTTTTAGGTTTAAGTGATAATTTTAAATAAATGATGATGATTTATTGGCTGTAACTTTCATTTAGCAGAAGAAGGCTTCTTAGTGCCGTAGTTTTTTTTTATGCCACATATACCACTGTCTCGATGCCATCACACAGATCAGAGCAGTCACCCAACAAGCAGCGGTGCTGGAACATACAGCGTACACTAAAAAGAAGCACAGTGTGTTTTCCCCAAAGACTTCCAAAACCTCACCTATCACTATCACATCAACAACTGCTTAGCTGTGAAAATCCGAAACCTAAACCTCTAAGATCCCATGCTGTAAATAAACTGGTTGCATATTTGCCAATCTGTAAACACAGCCGAGGCTTACAGGGGGTAATGGTGCCATTCATAAAGTTTCTGTACAGACAGAGCAGCAGTCACTGTGGAAAGAGGGGAAAATGCCCTAACTGTGAAAGCAAACAGGACTCCAAAGGACGATAAACAGGATACTTATTCCACTTGCCTCAACAGGAATGTTTGATGTAACACAGTGCAGTACATATTAGGACTTCCCTGCAGAACAGAGGCAATAGGTCAGGTTCTGTGATCTTAGCCATGTACCTGGATGAATAATGAATCGTTATCTGTTTCAAACAGAATGCTGCAATACTCCAGATTATTACTTGTGGATCTACGAAGCAGATATTTGTGTAGGATAAAAATCATTATGTAGGATGTCAGCCATTTCAAATCATTCTAATGTGTTCCTGCACCCTATTATACCGTTTCTGGAGAGGAGTAGGATAAGATATGTGGATTTTTTTATTTACAGATATTGATGAATGCCAGAATGGCCCAGTGTGTCAGAGGAATGCAGACTGTGTTAATACAGCAGGGAGCTACCGCTGTGACTGCAAACCTGGCTACAAGTTCACACCCACAGGACAATGCGTCGGTGAGACATTATGTAACATGTTCAACTGTACTGAATAAACTTGTCCTGAGTTCACTTCACAGCATCCACTTCTGTAATGTTATTTAACCAATCTTATCCTTGTCAGACTGCCATTCTTTTTGTTCTTTTTCATCCTACTGTTTTTTTATGTTTTCTTTTCTTACTATTCATATAATATAAAACCAGAACTACATTTGAAAAGAAGTTGAGTCATTCCTAAGGCTCGCTTCTGTAAATGTTTAAATATATTCAAAAGCAAAATCTGTTTTTTCAGAATGTGTGCCATCACCAAGAATTACAGAAGTCCCATCACCATCAAATTTGTTTTTCTTCTTAAATGAGCTTTATTCCACAGAGACCTCTTCCAGTATGAAACCCACTGAAAGAGAAAGATCAGGGCCTGGGAGTGGTGTTTCCAATACACTGTTCTCTGTATAATAAGCTTTAAAAAAGTGGTGATAATGTGGCTTCTTCCATTATTGGATTGCATTATTGAGACTAGGATGGGCCCCTTGTAGCCAAAGCACCTACAGCAGTGGAACTACAAGTCTGCCATGCCTGTGGAACTACGAATCTTGAATGGTAGCTTTTGCTCATGTTTGGCAGCATGCCTCACTGTATACAGTTTTGTTGAGCAAATTGATATTTTTTGTGTTTTCAAAATGTCTTACCTGGAACACCTGCCAGTAGCAGCACTTTCTGTTGCAGGCTGAAAACAAAAGCATTGTCAGCCTGGCATGCAAGCTCCTTCAGGTGGCTGTTGGGCTGCCTATCAGGTTTATCAGATAGGCAGCCTAATGTCTAACTACAGGAGCTTACACTGCAGGCTGACAATTCTGCCTCTTAAGATCCCCAGATAAGAAACTTTGCAATAGATTTACAAAAAAAAATATTTTGCTCAAGAACTGTATACTGGAAGGCATGATGCTGAACCTATTGAAATACATGGGGGTTACATATTGGGGTTTACATGCACGTTAGAAGAAAAATCATTTGATAATGCATTGCCTATTGCATCTTTGTAATGGTACTATTTGAGTGGGCATTTTATCACCCCATTTAAGGCTATGTTGTTGTGGTGTCTTTTTTATTCAGGTTTGTTATCTGTATAGAAAATTAGGTATAAATTAAATTCATTTCATGTCTTCACACTATTTTTATAAAACAACTAGACTGTCATTTTCTTATACATTGTAGCAGCATTAAACTCTACAGACCTAATTATCTCTTTTAGTTGTTAGACAGTGGTGATTAAAACTGCATTTCAACTGTATGCAGTCCTCGACATACAGTATGACAATATTGAAACCCTTTCTATAGTTATTTGTCCCTATTCTAACCGTGTTATGTTATTATTGTACATTCAAAACCAGAAGGCACCAGGGACAGTATGCTATGTATTTCATATTTAGTATCACTACTGTATTGTATAACATGCCAATCAAAGGCTTAAAGTAGTGGTCTCCAAACTGCGGCCCGGGGACCGGATGCAGCCTTTTGCTTGCCTTTATCCGGCCCCTGAGGCACTTTTCCTCCCACTGATAAAAGACACTATTTCTCCCACTGACATCAACAATGGTGCATAATTCCCATTACTGACATTAGCAAAGGGACCCATTGACACCAACAATGGAGCCCTATTTCTTCCACTGACACCAACAGGCCACTATTCCTCTCACTGACACCAATGATGAGCCACTCAAACTGACACCAATGATAGGGCACTATTCCTCCCACTGACACCAGCAATGGGGCACTATTCCTCCCCCTAATACCAAAGATGCATTGTTTACTCCCACTGACACCAAGACAATTTCAACTCCCAATGGCCACAGACCGGCCCCCCTAAAGTCCGAAAGACAGTAAACTGTGCAAAAATTGTACATGATTACAGTGAATCTTGTGATTCTTCTTGAAGGATCTAGACACTGGCCGCCCCCCCCCCCCCCCCCCCCAATTGTTGAGTTTGTATCAAGAAGTGAGCATCTCTCTCATCCCTTTCGAGACACATGCCCATGGCACATGCTTTATAGCACATGCTTTATAGCACATATAGCACTGACAGCAACACACCTATTTTAAAGGAAGCTTTCACTTTCAGCAATCTTGAGCTGCTACTCTATAGTCAGATATTAACATTGGTTTCTATAATGCTGTTCAAACATCTTGCCTATATAGTAGTGAGTTTAGGATCATGCTGCAGATAGCTGCGTTTTTCAGTTGACAGCAAGATTTAAAGTAATGATGTACACTTTTCCTTAGTGACACAGGATTATGCCAAGTAGGCATTGATTTTGCCAAATGATATGTTTCCTATTAGGTAGCAGTCTCTGGATATTTCTACAGTCTAAAATGAATTACCAATGGCGTTTGATTTATTATTGAAAATATTCATTGGTCTTCCACATCTTAAGAACAAGCCCAACTGAAAAAAAGTATTTTTGGCTCTAATCTTCATTCACCTGGCTAGAACTCCATTTTTTATCACCAATACCAGATAGCTAAGGGAATCATTGGGCTTCTTTCCCAGGTGTCTAGGCTCAGGAATAGCGAGGCCGAAGAACTCACAGTGCAGTAAGAATTGCTCTGCTATCAACACGAAGGAAAACTGATCTATGTTGCTTAAAAGATGTACTTCATTTCACTCTAGATCTGTAAAAGGAAACTGTATTTTTCCAGCCATCATCTCTCTGTAGGGGCAAGCCTGTTGTTTCTGCCCTTTCTCCAGTACTATTGTGAAAACCTTTTGTGTATTGGGTGTTGTTATAAACTTGGTCAGGAATACAGTGAGGTGGTTGTATAAAGATGTTTAAAGCTTCTCTCAACCACTATTGTAAGCAGCTTACTGGAACAGGAAAGCGGATGAATTATCAGATGTAAAGAACAATATCACGGATCGCATTGGCAGTCCATACACTTTCCTGCCATTCTCTACACATTCACTTGATAGCTGTTAAGTGAAACAAACCTGGCTGGTTCTTGGCACATTGCAAACATTGCAGGAATATATAATACTCTTATGAGATTCATTTTTGTAATGTAAGTAAACGGTGCTGACTAGTATAGATTGGCTTTAGGTTTGTGTTAAGTTTTGTTTTGCTAAGACTACATGGAATACGACTCAAAACATCTTCTACTTAAAGTGGTTGTAAAGACTCAGGGTTTTTTTCTACCTTCATGCATTCTATGAGTGAAGTAACCAAATATAGCCAAAGTATAAACTGTGCTATAGTGCTACACCAACAAAAAAAGAGAAATATACAGTGATAACTGGTGCTGCTGTTCCAGTGTGTTACACTAGTACTAAACTGTAGATTATATACAGCACTCAACAGTGTGAATAACTAAAATTAATAGTGTCCATCCAAATGACTAAATTAATCTTCAAGTGACTTCAGTTCATAATTTGCATGCTTGTTCTTCTGAAAGGAATCCGTGCTCAAACCACATGATAAAGTGACAGGTGCTCTTTAAAAGTGCTCTTAAAAGGTGCTTTTCTTGTAGTGACCCCCTTAGTGACCGCACTCACCAGATTTGGTGGACCCTTTGCTTTCACAATGGAGTTAGATAATGCTTTATCTGGTGGTGGATGTCTCTTTCCTTCTGATGTCCTGCTGCTTGTCAGTCCTTCCATTCAGCCATGTTTTTAACAATAGATCTCCTTTAAACTCCTGGGTACCAAAAGGAGAGAGGATGCCCTCATAGTGTAATACTGCCTTTATTATAAAAATGTGTAACTTATTGCACTTACAATTAAAATAATACAAAAAGCTTAAACCTGCCGTGCACGCCAGGACATTCTCGGAGCTCCGCTGATCGCGTGCATTCCACGGACAGGATGTGACATCACCGGAAACTGGGTGTTCTGTCACATCCTGTCCATGGAACACACGTGACCAGCGATCAACTCCGAGACTGTCCTGGTGCATGGCAGGCTTAACCTTACTGTTTTATGGCAATTGTAAGTGCAATACGTCACACATTTTTATAATAAAGGCAGTATTACACTATGAGGACATCCTCTTTCCTTTTGGTACCCATATGAAGGTTCATTTGGACATTAAGATGGACACTATTTATTTTATTCATTCACACTTTTGAGTGTTGTAATATAATTTTTTGTTTATGCATGAAGATAAAAAAACCTGTGTGCAGCAGCCACCCCAGACCCCCCAATACTTACCTATCGCAATCCAGCAATATGCACAAGAGACTCAGCTTTCTGGGGACTTTCCCTCCTCATTGGCTGAGACAGCAGCGAGATCCATTGGCTCCTGTGCTGTCAATGAAAATAGTTAGCCAGTGAGAGAAAGGGGGTGGGGCCAAGTCATGGCTCTGTGTGTGAATGGACATGGAGAGCAGCGGTTCAGGTGCAAGTCTGCTTGGGCGTACCCATAGCAAGCTGCCTGTTGTGGGGACACTTAGCAGGAGGGAGGTGCCAGGAGCGCTAATGGGGAGCCCAAGAAGGGGAGGATTGGGCCTGCTCTGTGTAATACTATTACACAGAGCAGGTAAGTATGATATGCTTGTTATTTAGTGACTGCAGTGTCTTGGAAATAAATTATGACATAGAACTGTAAACATTGGAGTATTCCGGCAGGGTTCATGGGACAGGAAAGGCCTACAGGTATGGCATTTGCATTATTATTTCTTATCATCACCTAATAAATGACCTCTAGCAGGGCTGCTTCATTAAATCTCAAGGAAAGAAAATAGGCAGTTGTTTATCGTAGCAGGAGTCACCTTTCATTTTTTGCAAAAATTAAACAAAAGTTCTGTTTGGTTGCTATGGTCTGCAACTTTGCTTTTGAGCTGATTTTCTTTTCTCTGTTTAAAGGAATCAACTCAATTGAATTGATAGGAGCAGATGACTCAATGTGCACCAATAGGGCCTCTTGCACATGGGTGTCTGAGCCTATGCAGCATACATTCCGGCGTATTTTCATAGACATGAATGGCTGTTCTCATTTGTTGTTGGATACACACTGGTGCTCAGGTAAACACAAGTATACGGTAGCTTACGGGCATATGCAAAAAATGTAAACTTTTCTGTTTTTTGCATACCGCTTCATGTTGTACTCATGTTTACGTGAGTGCAGGTGTATACCAGAGTACAGCCACACACAGCCATTTAAGTCTATGGGCAGGTAATGCAGCACCTCCGGGTAGGCTTTCTGGGTAGGAGAAATACACCCAAATCTTTGTTGCTCAGACGTTCATGTGAAGAAACCCTAGTTGCCTAGCAATCCAGATATTGTTTTTAAGGTAGGAGGAAAATATAATATTTGTTACTGTCTTTAAGATTTTTTTGTCCCAATGTAAAGGAACATGATCCAGTAGTTAAACCGAGCTCTTTGCCAATGCTCTTTGTCTGGTTTTCCTAAACCTCTTATAAAAAAAACCTCCAAAAACAAAACACACATCTGGTCCCTGGAACGCTTCATTATTCTTGTTGATCACAACAAAGACATGAAGATATCATTAAACAAAAATTAGCAACATGTTTATTCTCATGATCCACATTTCTGGTTTCATTATTGAAGAACTGAGCATATTTACACAAAGTGATTGGGGGGAATCAGATTTGTTTGGAAGAAGGAAAGATGACATTCTTTGACAAATCATGTACGCCTGTTTAACATTTCATTGTCTCTATTCATATTCTTTACACCTAGATAAACAGCGACATAAAATGTTACTAGTTTGCCTGCTATTTGTGTATCTACATGTAATGTAATCGGAACAGATGTGTTTGTCTCACCATTTTTCTTTTGTCTCTTACAGACCGCAATGAGTGTCTGGAAATTCCAAATGTCTGCAGCCATGGAGAGTGCCATGATAAGGTTGGGGGATATTACTGTGTGTGCCACAACGGATTTAAGACCAATGATGATCAGACTATGTGTCTGGGTGGGTACCAAAAAGCTTGGCTGATTGTTATGCTTTCATGCATATTCCAAGTGATCATTATCAATTTAGTAAAAGCAATGACAAGCTAAACAGTACTGCAGGATAAGTACTTTTATTGGTTTTTATAGCTGTCATGAAAACCAGAACATTCAAAACATTTCACATCTCAGTAAAGATCACAAAAAAGTTGGCTGTACATTGGAAGATCACTAATGAAATGATAGAGATCATATCTTTGTAACAACTGCTGAGCATCCAAATCTGTTACATTTTTAACAACAGTCTGCTCAGTGATGTACCATATGTGTGACAAATGACCTTTCTCATACTGCTTCATCATGTCTAATGTTTCATATGTGTGAAGCTGAAATGATATTTTTTGTATGTTGCATTGATACCAGATAGGATCCAGTGTAAGTATGCATTCCCATTTTGGCTGTTCCCATAGAAGCTGAATCGCTTAGGTAGGCACCACTGCCGAGCGTATCTCCTGCATGATCCAGATAGGACTAGTGTAAGTATGCATGTCCCATACCTGGCTGATTCCCATAGAAGCTGGAGATCGCTGTAGAAGGCACCACTGCCGAGCGACTCTCCTGCACTGATCCAGATAGGACTAGTGTAAGTATGCATGTCCCATACCTGGCTGATTCCTGATAGAAGCTGCAGGGATCGCTGTAGAAGGCACCACTGCCGACTGACTCTCTGCATGATCCAGATAGGACTAGTGTAAGTATGCATGTCCCATACCTGGCTGATTCCCATAGAAGCTGGGGATCGCTGTAGAAGGCACCACTGCCGACTGACTCTCCTGATCCAGATAGCATTGATGCATGTCCCATACCTGATAGAAGCTAGATGTAAAGTACTGACTCTCCTGCAGATAGGACTGTCCCATACCTGGCTGATTCCGATAGAAGCTGGGGATCGCTGTAGAAGGCACCACTGCTGACTGACTCTCCTGCATTGATCCAGATAGGACTAGTGTAAGTATGCATGTCCCATACCTGGCTGATTCCTATAGAAGCTGGGGATCGCTGTAGAAGGCACCACTGCTGAGCGACTCTGCTGCACTGATCCAGATAGGACTAGTGTAAGTATGCATGTCCCATACCTGGCTGATTCCTATAGAAGCTGGAGATCGCTGTGGAAGGCACTACTGCCAAGCGACTCTGCTGCTGCTTAGTGACATCACAATCTCCACCTTTGCAAATGAAAATTATTCTCTGAATGATGTCTATGCCAAGCAAGTAACCTTCTGTGTTCACTAAACAGCAGGGCAGCCGATCGACACAAGAAGCTAGCACCAGTCACTGTAGTAGTGATGCCCACTACTGTGATTTCTGGCTTCCACATGGATCAGCTAGGTTTAACACATGCATACTTACATTAGTCCAAGCTGGGGAAATGTAACTGTACAAAAATATGCATACCTAAATCTTCAGCATTAAGACTTCTTTTTCAAATAATAGTAAAGATAAAATTACACTACTAAAAGAATGCACTTTGCTGGTTAGCGATGACGTTTATAGGCCCTTTAATCACACAAGCTGTCATGAGTTACAGCATTGCTCAGCAAAAAGTCCATCAAACATTGAAAGGTAGAGGGGGTCCCAACCTTCTGTGGAGGTCTCCAGAGTCCCAGCTTAATAAATCAATACAGACACTCACAGTGCATAGTTCTCGAGACACAGAATGTATCCAAAACATCTCTTTTATAAAAAATATCATGTATATTGTGCAATTAAAGAATAGAAATGGATACAGCATCTGAACACAGATTTCATACTGAGTCTTACTGTTTCTTTTCCCTTTATAGATGTTAATGAATGTGAAAGAGATCCTTGTGGCAATGGAACATGTAGGAATACAATTGGATCTTACAACTGCCGCTGTTTCGATGGGTTTATCCTGTCACACAACAACGATTGTATAGGTAAGGAACGAACAAGTAATTATGACTGGTGTCAGCCCAGTTTATCTGGGTGATGGAATCTTGGCGCTGCATTCTTTCAGTGCAAATGTTCCCTTCTGTTGGCATAGAAGCTCCTGATTCTGGGTGAGTTGAATATGCAACAGAGTAAGGCATATTAAGTGATAGCAATTCGTTTACGGGTTAAAGCTAAGTTTAGTTGTTCAGCAGTATTTGGCAGCATAGGGAAGTGTCAGAACGTCTGCCAGCTTTTACTGCCGTCTGTGTCCCAAGTGGGAATATGTGCCATCTCTATCTATATGTGCTATCTCTATCTATCCCATATGGAAGAAAAATATATTTGAAATATATTTTAAAAATATTTTTCACAAACATATTGGCATATATTTGAAATGCTACAATTTTGGCCATATTCAATATATTTCAAAATATATTTCAATAAATATATATATATTGAAATGTGTTTTTATTACAAAATATATGAAAAATATTTTAAAAAAATACATTTTAAATATACTTTGTGGCTTCAAAAATACAAATCTACATTTTAGGAATGCATTTACAAATATATGTAAAAATATAAGTTAAAATGACTTTTTTATATGTTAAAAAAAATCTGAAGAATATATTTAAAATATATATATATTTATAAAAATATATATTTTAAATATATTCTTCAGATTTTTTTTTTTTTTAAATATAAAAAAGTAATTTTAACATATACAGTATTTTAAAAATATCTGTACATGCATTCCAAAAATGTAGATTTTTATTTTTAAAGACATACAGTATGTTTGAAATGTACTTTTTAAAAATATTGCTCATATATTTTGTAATAAAAACGCATTTCAACATGCAGTATATATATATATATATATATATATATATATATATATATATCTGTTTATTGAAATATATTTTGAAATATATTGAATATGGCCAAAATTGTAGTATTTCAAATATATTTTTTCTTCCATGTGGGGTGTAAAGGCTACTCTATCACACTAGGCTACAAGTTACTCCTCACCATAACTGAATATGTCATTTATAGCCATAACATCAAATAAAACATGTCTATATTATATACACTATCTATATACACACATCCTGCACAAAACATCACTGTCGAGATATTTCTGCCGACAACTGTACTTCAATGGTTAAAAAGTCAGCACAGAGGCAGAGCGATCTCCGTGGTCCTCACAGGAAGAGCTCCCTTCTTTCCCCCAGTCTAGCAAATATTTCTTTTCGCCTACACAGAGTTCAGCACACTATTTTTTCTTTGAAGATCATCCAGATATTAATTGGGTAAAAGAAAATGACCCATTCTATTGTTTTTGGATAATGTTATTCTAATGACAAAATGACTATGACAAATTGGCGTTACAGTTTTGTAGACTAGTGCGCCACTTTTATGGTTGCAGCCAGAACACATTTGTAGGTCGGCTTCTGATTTTATAAAAATGTAGCAGTTACCCACAGAGTGGAATAAAACACAGACAGTTTGCTTTTCACACCATGTAGGTTTTCATTAAATATTGCATGATTTAATGGTATGATAACACTTTGCTGGGTGCTACATTATATGTCATAATAAAATCTATATGAAAAGCTGCTGGCACATTTTAACAGACTGTTTTTTTTTTTCTGGTTTTTTTTTTTTTTTTAATATATCTCTTCTGACTTCTTTTGTTTTCCTACAGATATCGATGAATGTACCACGCTGAATGGTCAGTTATGTAGAAATGGGCAGTGTGTCAATGTTATCGGATCCTTCCAATGCATCTGTAATGAAGGCTATGAAATGACATCCGATGGAAGAACATGTCTAGGTAAGGTTAGCATTTTACTTAAAGTGATTTTGAAGGTTCCTCTTTTTGTAATTCTTTCCCCCTCCTGTAACATTATTGGATATAAAAAAAATATTTCTGGTCTTTCAATACCTTATTTTGAATCTTCTCTTCGTCCTGCTTTTGCTCGCCTAGGCAAATGGCATAGGCTGCGCTCCCATTGACTTCTGGGATATCAGCGTCACAAATCCCACAAATCTTTGGGCGAGGTAACAAATGGCAGAGCAGGCGGGCAGAGAAGAGGGCGGGCAACAGCTTCCCTGTTGTTTCCAAGTTGCTATAGCTGCAGGAGCGAACTTCCACTTGTGCTGCCATTGCTATAGCAACTTGAACACAAACTATATACTTTTTATAGGGTGCAGCTCCAAAATATAATGTGAAAACAATCAACAAGTGAATAGAAAAGAGAAATCACAAAAAAAGTATTCACCATGAACCTCAAGTGAATATGTAAGAAAGTGTCCCTTTAAGAGCAAATGTCATATAATGTAATAAAATAAAGTCCACTAATTAAATCCACGTGTTTGTATATTCCTTCCACTGAAATAAAGAATAATGACACCACTGTGGTATTCAGTCACCATCAATGCACACTCACCGACTCCTAAGCTGCATGTATGTAAGCAGCAAACAATGCATGTAAAGCTTGAAGCCAACAACTTCTGTAGGACTTCATTTATAGGAGCAGAGTGAACCTCCTCTTCAGAAAACCATCCACACTTAAAGCAGAGTTCCACCTTAAAAAAAAAAAAAAAAAAAAAGTCAGCAGCTACAAAAACTGTAGCTGCTGACTTTTAAAATACAGCCACTTACCTGTCCCTCGGTCCAGGGGTGTCCTCACCACCGCTGGTTTCACCGGCTGTCTTCTCTCCCTGGTGCCGGCATCTACAGTGTGGGCACCCGGCTGTGATAGCTTGCGGCTTCACAGCCGGGTGCCCACTGCGTATGCGTGAGAAGCACTGTGCTTTGTGAATGGCCCCATAGTCTTCTGGGACCTGTCACGTGTCCCAGAAGACTACGGGGAGGGAGGGGGGAAGGACAACTTCCACTTCCGATCGCCTAGGCGATTGCGGCAGAAGTGGGAGTGGGTACCTGTCAAATTCAGTTACCTGCTCCCCAAAGGTGCCAATCCTTAATGAGGAGCGGGGGAACAAAGCATTAAAGCGGAACTTCCCCTTTTGGGTGGAGCTCCGCTTTAAACAGATTGACTCCCAAGTAAGATGGCCACCGGTTCTGGAAACAGAAGTGGCAACACATTAGCACGTGGCTCCGCCCCAACGTGTTTCATGCAATAACACATCTTCAGGGGACACTACCTTTATTGATTGTTTTCACATTATATTTTGGAGTTGCACCCTATTAAAGTATATAATGTGAGAGGTCTATGTATATTGACCTGCATTGCTAGCTGCCAACATTATTCACTCTAGTGCTGACTTCTAGTCCTTAGCGCTCAGGCATGTGATTTAGATGGCAAGGACGGGCAGTTAATTCAGATCTCGGGAGACAACGGTTGCAGGCTTCAGCTGCCCTTACTGAAAATGGGTGCCGGCAAAGCACGGCTGTGTGCTGATAGAAGATTCAGTGGGAAATACAAATAAAAAAAAAAAAAAGTGCCTAAAAATCATTGCCAATATCTTAGGCTGCTGCAGGTTTGTTTTTCAATATTGTTTAAAGCAGTATTAAACCCCAAAACCAAAAATGTAATATATTGCAGTTTACCGATCATTAGATATGGTGGCTGCATTAACTTTCTTTTTTTAGGCCTTTTCCCTCTGTTTTCACCTGGTGATTTGGCCAGTAACACATTTCCTGTATTATACAGACACCACTCTGGTTGAAGGAGCACAGGGGACAGATTTGGACAGCAGCATTGTCAGTCTGGGGGAAGGGAGTCTTAAAAGTACTAGCAGATTTTAATACAGTAACAAATTGAAACTGAACTCCAGCTAATACTTTATAACCAAACAGCAACAGTTCCTTTTGGGATAAAGGCTTTACGCCAATAAATAAAAGCTGATCATTGTAAGCACCCCTGCCAGTGTTAAATGGTTTGTCTCATCGCTGTAACTGCAAGAGAGCTTTTCTGTTGAAAAATGACAGACTTACTGGCTGAATCACCAGGTGAAAATAGAAGAAAGTAAGCCTAAAAAAGGAAACTAATGCAGCCATCACATCTAAGAATTGGTAAGCTGCAATATAATAAATGTTTTGCTTTTGGGCAATACTGCCTTAAAGATCACCGGTAAGAGAACAATCCTAGCTACAGTATATTGGTGTAGATATACAAAAAGAAATACAAATTGCAACCTTGCAGTTGTTAACCTCTTACGGACCGCCCACCCGCAATGTACTGTGGATGGGCGCCCTGTAAAGGCACAGCAACGTGCCTGTATGTCGCTGGCCTTTTCTGGGTACAGGGTGCGCATCACCCCCACGACGTCCGCTGTGATTGTACAATGATTCATGGCCGGGACCTGCTGATCGGCTGTGTTTAATCACAGTACAGAGCTCTGTGCTGACAATCAACACATGGCTCTGTACAGAGGGAACAATCTTGCTGCAAAGCAGCGAGAAGAAACAGAGAGATGTGTTGATTACCCAAGATGGTAATCCCTTAACAGCCAGTGTCATTAGTACAGTGACAGTGTATAGTATTACCACTGATCACTGCATTATTGTCACTGATGATGTCATTGGCAGTTAGTCAGTTCCCACCTCAGTGTCAGTTAGTGTCAGATTGCCCACCACACAGTCACAGTCCCACTATAGGGGGCTGATCACCACCAATAGTAGTATAAAAAAAAAAATCCAGTATATATACCATAGTTTGTAGATGCTATAACTTTCACGCAAACCAATCAATATACACTCATTGGGATTTTTACCAAAGATATGCTGCAGAATACATTGGCCTAAATTTATGAAGATTTTTTTTCAATTGGGTATGTCTTATAGTAGAAAGTAAAAAATATAATTTTTTCCCCAAATTTTTGATCTTTTTTCATTAATATATATATATAAAAAATAAAAAACCCAGAGGTGACCAAATACCACCAAAAAGATATCTCTATTTGTGTGGAAAAACTGACATAAATTTTGTTTGGGCACAGCCGCGCAATTGCCAGTTAAAATAGCGCAGTGCTAAATAGCAAAAGAAAATATTCTTGAGACTTGTCACTCTTCCAGAATCCAGTGGCAGGTTGTCAATGCTTCTGCTTAGGTCAGTCACTGAAATGTTATAAATTGCCCCACAGACCTGAACAGGAGTCTCTAGGTGCCTGCATGTATGCTCACTTACATTGTGGAACTCTAAAGTTTAGGGAGCTTTAATGTGCAAATAATTTCAGTTCCTAAAGTTGCATTACTGCAATTTACTATTTGTTTGAGGCTGTCCATCATGGTGAGGGGCCAAACTGAGTAAGAGGGAGTGGGTGAGGCCAAGAACCAAAGCTGCTGATACCACAGGCCCCATACAGCCAACCTGCCCTCCACCAAAAAAAACCAACACAGTTTACTATGCTTCAGTTATGAATGGACACAGTGAGTGATTGTTACCAATCACTCATTGCGTTCATTCAGGAAAAGAAGAGGCTGGTAAATGTTACATATTTCCCAGACCCTTCCACCACTCGCCATCCTGAAGGATCCTACTGTGTGCTGTCAGATGCTGGTGGGAGGGAGAGGAAAGCCGGCAGCACTGCAGGGGCACAAAGGGGGACTTGGGCAGCAGAGGAAAACGTATGGTGCACAAGGAGGGTGATGGGTATTGCAGGGGCAATTACTGGAACTGATCCCCTGTATGGCTCTCTCTGCAGCAGCTGAAGGCCAGAGGGAGGGAGAGGAAAAGGAGCCACCCTCCCTGCCCACATTTGATTCACTCAGCTGCCTGGGCCCCCCCCCCCCCCCCCCCTGCTGGCCTGGGCCCCGTACAGGAGGACTAGTGGTACCCCCTTATCCACGGCCCTGCCTAGAACACCCTCATTCACTTAATGTGTCATCTGCATATTAGAAAGTGGTATGTGAGCATATGTAAAGACCCTATCTTGCCCGTTGTTTAGATGTCTGCTCACTGTGCATTAGAAGTTGCTGAAAGTCAAAAAGTGCCCACTTAATTTCCTGATTAGAAGACTTCCAGCATTATTATTATTATTATACAGGATTTATATAGCATCAGCAGAGACAATACAGCAACAACACAGTTCAATACAAGAGGGTTAGGAGGGCCCTGCTCCTTGGAGCTTACAATCTAGTCCTTTCCTCTTCCAGCCTTAGTGTCCCTGGCCCACCCCTTTCATTCATTGGATTTCAGTTCTTTCAATCATGGAGGCTCAGCATCACATGTGAGCGTTACCTTGGGTGGTCTACCTGCAAATGTCCACTCCTCCAGACTGACACCAAAGCCTCAATGTATTTTGATTTTTTCACAACTCTTCCCATAAGCCAGCTCACTTGCTTGCATCAGAGCTGAGGGTTCTTGAGAGGAGTACTGAGGCAGGGTGCTGTGATATATTTTCAGGAAGCTATGTACAGCACCCTGTTGACCCCTCCCACTAGCCGGGATCTGCCTGCATTGCATAGAGAAGCACAGATGACAGCACTGCATCTAAAATAAGGTATGCAATCAAAATGGAAGGTTTTATTTCCAAATCTCATCAGCATGTAAAAACTGTAGGGAAGAAACCAGAGAAGGCAAAATATGAACAGATTCAACTTCTGATGTTTTCAGGTTCACTTTAAAAATAACTTTTATCTTAAAATGAATGACATGTTGTATCCTGTTACAGGTCAAATATATGAAATGTCTTGGAATACTTGAATTTATATCCTGTAATGTATTATTGTCATGAAAATAAGAATCACATACCCAAGCGGATTGGAATCTCCTGCCAGTGATTTATGTTGTGTTTTATGTAGTGCTAATTCCGCCAAGTGGAGGACAAAATGAAAAATGTTACTTGAAATGCACAAATGGCTGGTCAATGAGGCAATCCTAAATGACTTCATCTGAATGAACAGATCTAGATAAAAATGCAGCTTAGCTCTTTGTACCTTTCTTAATAGTTTTTTCTGATCTGATCTTGGTATAATATCGCTGTGTTCTTTCTAGATATCAATGAATGTGAACTTGATCCTGGGAAGTGCGCTCCTGGAACTTGTCAAAATCTGGATGGCTCCTACCGCTGCATCTGTCCTCCTGGATATGTGCTGAAAGATGACAAGTGTGAAGGTACAGTGATCTAGTTTTGACATTAAAATGTACAAATCCAGAGCTTTAAATGAAATAATCTGACCTCTGACTTTATCTTTGCAGACATTGATGAATGTGTTGAAGAGCCAGAAATCTGTGCTCTGGGAACTTGTAGCAATGTTCCTGGCAGCTTCACCTGTCTGTGTCCTGAGGGGTTTGTACTATCATCAACAGGAAGGAGATGCCAAGGTAGAGACTCAATCCTTTTCTACAACATACAGTTCTGTCATTTTGTCATGAGTAATACAGCCAAGTCTTACACTACTAACTTGGAATACCAAAGATGAGCAACGTACATAAAACAGTCATCTTACAAGCAGGCCTGGATATAGGGGGGTGCTGGCGAGGGCTGTACCCCTCCCACAGATTTTAGAGCCAGTCTGCTGGTGCCAATGGGTGTAAGGGGGGACTCTGATGGAGACATTTCATGTAAGGGGGCACTCTGTTGAGGACAGTTAATGTAAGGGGGCACTCTGATGAGGACAATTGATGTAAGGGGGCACTCTGATGAGGACAGTTGATGTAATGGGGCACTCTGATGGAGACATTTCATGTAAGGGGGCACTCTGTTGAGGACAGTTGATGTAAGGGGGCAGTCTGATGAGGACAGTTGATGTAAGGGGGCACTCTGATGAATACAATTGATGTAAGGGGGCACTCTGATGAGGACAGTTAATGTAATGGGGCACTCTGATGGAGACATTTCATGTAAGGGGGCACTCTGATGAGGACAGTTGATGTAAGGAGGCATTCTGATGTGGACAGTTCATGTAAGGGGGCACTCTGATGAAGACAATTGATGTAAGTGGGCAGTCTTATGAGGACTGTTGATGCAAGGGGGTACTCTGATGAGGACAGTTGATGTAAGGGGGCATTCTGATGGAGACATTTCATGTAAGAGGGCACTCTGATGAGGACAGTTGATGTAAGGAGGCACTCTGATGAGGACAGTTGATGTAAGGAGGCACTCTGATGAGGACAGTTGATGTAAGGAGGCACTCTGATGAGGACAGTTGATGTAAGGGGGCACTCTGATGAAAACAATTGATATAAGGGGGCAGTCTGATGAGGACAGTTGATGTAAGGGGGCACTCTGATGAGGACAGTTGATGTAAGGGGGCACTCTGATGGAGACATTTTATGTAAGGGGGCACTCTGATGAGGACAGTTGATGTAAGGAGGCACTCTGATGAGGACAGTTGATGTAAGGGGGATCTCTGATGAAGACAATTGATGTAAGGAGGCACTCTGATGTAGACAATTGATGTAAGAGGGCACTCTGATGAGGACAGTTGATGTAATGGGGTACTATGATGAGGACAGTTGATGAAAGAGGGCACTCTGTTGAGGACAGTTGTTGTAAGGGGGCAGTCTGATGAGGACAGTTGATGGAAGGAGGCACTCTGATGAGGACAGTTGATGTAAGGGGGCAGTCTGATGAGGACAGTTGATGTAAAGAGGTACTTTGATGAGGACAATTGATGTAAGGGGGCAGTCTGATGAGGACAGTTGATGCAAGGAGGCACTCTGATGAGGACAATTGATGTAAGGGGGCATTCTGATGAGGACAATTGATGTAAGGGGGCACTCTGATGAGGACAGTTGATGTAAGGGGGCACTCTGATAGAGACACCTGATATAAGGGGACACAGGTTCTGCTTAATCAACCTAATCTAACAAGAGCCAAATCCATTTTCTGTTCACTCCTGTACCACCTCTACAGTACCTGTCAGTTGTTAGTTCTGAGGCATGAAAAATGGTACAGAAGAGTGTGAGCAAGGAATACTGGTACCCTGCATCTATATCGCAATGTGTGTCAGTGAGTCACACACAGTGTTGACATAATGCTCCCTTCCTGACTTTTTTTTTTACTGTACCCCTAGACCAGATAGGCAAGACCCATCCCTACTTTTAAATACTATTTTAGTTTCTTTTAAAGGTATACTTCTTATAAGGTATTGGTTGTGACTGTGTTGTTGATAGAAAGTGGCTGAAAAGATGATGACTATGTTCTAGTTAGTAAGATTAGTAAACCTAGTTGCCATGGACAGTAATTAAGAATTATAGACATTTTTAAAACCATTAAGGCTCGTTCACACCATACATGCATGAAAAAACCTCAGTTTACATCAGTTTTCATGCACGCTTCAATGAATTTTAAATACCTTGCAGATTCCTGCACAAAAAAAAACCTGCATGGGATACTAGTGTGGTGTGAACGGAGCACATAGAGAACAATTGATTCTGCCATTGCAGAATGCATACAGAATAACTGACGCCTCTGCACCATGGTGTGAACGAGCCCTTAGCCATTTTTTTTTAAATTTTAAAAGGACAATTCACATATTTCTGATATTTCAGTTCTTGGTTAACTATAAAGAGTTGAATCATCAAGTAGTTTCCTATATCTTTCAAGGGACTCCAGTGGTGGGATCGCTGTTCTTGAATTCCCAAGCCTATAATCCTGCTGTTACAATTATACCACCTTCTCTCTTGGATTTTGTATTGATTCTAAATTGGAATACAAGCAGTGGGAGCACCCCAAGGTGGGTGTAAACACCCAGCATACAAAGATGGGTGGTAACAGTTGTAGGAATGATGGCTTGGAGATTTCATTGTTGGAGTCCCCAAGTGATATAATAAGCATTCCTGGATAACAATTTTTATGGAAATTGTGCTTAATATTGTGAACCCCAAAAGTTATTTCTGTTCTGGAAGCATTAATGACCATACTGTGATCAAGTCCACCAAACCTTGCCAACAACAGAAAATAGTGTTGCAAAAACATGTATGCTAATTTGTTTCTTTGATTAAGTTGAACATTTTAGTAAAGTTAAATGATGTTTCTACAAACACAATCCATTTCTAGTTGTTGCAATATTTTTTTTGTGGCCAAGCATTATATTGACTGGGACCAGTTTTGCCTGTTCCATCTGAAGATGGTACCTGGCTGCTGATATTAGTCACCCTTTTGTTTTATCATTTTTATATAATATAGAATGACAAACCAGAAGCAAGGAATAAACACAAGCAGGAAATTAATATCACTAGGTATAGGTGCAAACATGTACAGGTCAATATATGGACAGCTGTAAGCAAACTCTATCATAAGTTATGTACTATTATATGAAGTTATTACTATTATGAAGTTATGTACTGTTGTAAAATCACTCTAGTTATTCTCAAAATGGCAGTCACATGGACTAATGAATATGTTGGGAAAGGAAATTATATTTATTCTGAAAGACTGGCACAGAGGAGATTATATATGTTTATCAAACATATCACTAACTCCTATAGACCAGTTTAATGCAGAAGTCTGTTTTTTTCAACACCCCCCAAAATCCAAGGGTTTTCTGGCAATTTGATGACGTCATGGGTCCATCCTCTTCTCTGCTGGTGGTGGTAGGTGTGCCTTACTGCTGCTGTGAATGACACTTATATAATGAAGTGTGAGTTAAGTCTAGTCCAGTAATGAGCTTAATTTCACTGTGGCAATGATTCTGCCCGAAAGTCTGGTGGCATCTAGTGGTGAAATGTATTACTGCAAGGGACAGCTCCAGATTGAAGGTAAATATTGCAGCAAAACCTTCCTTTTTTTTTTAATAATGCTCCCCTGAGATTTTTAATATATTAAAAAACAGAGTTACCTTTTAAAGCATTATTTTTAGATCACTATATTCAAATCCTATTTTTTAGTGTATTGTCACATGCAAATTCTGATAGAAGTGCCCCTTTGATTGCAATATTTTGGCATCTTATGTTTCGCTCCTTTTAACAGATTTACGACTTGGTTTATGCTACACCAAATTTGAAGCTGGACAGTGTCTTTCTCCAAAGACTCTAAACCACTCCAAACAGGAATGTTGCTGTGCAATGAGAGAAGCAGGATGGGGATCCCCATGTGAAATATGCCCGGTGGAAGGAGATGGTAGTATTGCTGTATTTTGTAGACATTCTGCTGGCACATTACAGTAACTAATGACAATACAAACCGTTCACATTTATCTACAGAACTGAAGCCATTTGTTCAAGTCTATTATTTCTAGGGTGTTAGTATAAAATATTTATTATACAATGGCATAGAGCACATTTATATCACAGTGCAATCAAGCAAAATAGAAGAAATTCCCAGACAATCCCACAGGGAAACAATTACTCAGTACAACAAAACAGTTTTCCACCCACCAAAAGCTGGCAAAGGGCTCTCTTCAAATGCACATGAAAGCTGAGCTTGGAAGAACATTTATAGATGTACATGATGTGATATCCAAGTGGACACATTCCAAGGGAAATCATGAGAAATACGTGCGCACACTGCGCCAAGTTATTGCAGGAGATGAACTATTCACGTTTGATCAAATGTTAAGGAACACTGCCATTTTAACCCTAAAGAGGCCAATATTAGCGACTAAATCACTCATGTCCATTAAGCGATGTAGTCTTGTATGGTTTTAAATTGAAGATGATTTTTAATAGAATATTATATAGTTTGCACAGTACTAAGCAACTGATTAAGCAGAACTTTTTTACTGGTAAAAAGCAAAACATTGTATTGCTGAGAACCATATTGTAAAGCTGGCCATACACTGTGCAGTTTCCATCAGTGGGTGGCCCTGTCACCAACCTTCTGCCCCATGTCCTTTGACTGAAAAATCACAGTCCTGGTGGAAAGTTGTCAGTTGAACTGCAGTTGCATGTAATCAGATAGAGCTGCTGTTCAGATATTTTCAGCGGGGCTGGCTGTCAAAATACAGTATGTGCAGTGGGAGATTCGTCCATCTGCACTCTATAGCCAGCAGGCTGAATGGGAAAAAAAACCTATAATTTGTAGGGCCAGCTTAACAGAGAGTCTTATCAGCAAGAACAGCATTCACAGCAGTAATCAGCACACACTCATTGTACAAGCTTTAGGTACTGTGTTGCTGAAACCAAAATGTAGAAACTTTCTATGTGTTGCCTATAAAAATCTGCACTAGATTTTATTCTAGTGATCAATTGAAGACTTCAAGACCACAAACCATGTATAATTTTGTTAGTTCTATACACAGAGGAATTCGTTTTGTTCTTTTACGAGGGCAATGCTGCTGTGCCTTTGGTGGGAAAGTTGATAGAAGTGTTGGAACCAAATTTAAATTATAGAATGACTCCATTGGAGTGGTGCAGGGTTACATCAAACTTATTATAATGTAGTTATAGTATAGCATCTATGACAGAGTATAATGGCTTTGTGTATTTTTTTTTTAAGAGGCTTTCCGAGAGATCTGTCCGTTTGGAAGTGGTGTGGTGGTTGGACCAAATGATGAGCGAATTGGTAAGATGTAACACTGAACAATAATAAGACAAGCAAGGGGAACATCATATGCAGAATTTACAGTGCTCTTTTCCTTTTCCACTTTTCTGTAGACATGGATGAATGTACCGATCCAGACAAATGCAAGAATGGCCAGTGTATCAACACAGATGGATCGTATCGGTGCGAATGCTCCTTTGGATATGCGCTTACAGGAGATGAATGCATAGGTCTGTTATAATGTTACTATAATAAAACATACTAATAAATGTGTTTGCAATTAGTAAATTTAAAGGGACCCCTTGATACCAATATATTGTGTATTGCTCTGATATCCTGGTAACACAAGGGAATGCAAGTTTCACAGCGCACTAACAATATGCAGAGGACTACAGAAAAATGTAAACATGATAATATTACTGTGGTGCTTCAAAATAAGAAGAAGCAACCATGTTAGACAGCACCTGTGCCATGATTCACCCATCCTTGATAAACATTTGCCACATTGCCAGAGCCTACATGTTGTCTGGTACAAACAGATCAAAATTCATCCAGTTCAGCAGAGACTGAATTTCGATCTGTGTGTGGCCCTCCACGTTTGACAGACGTCATTCATTAGATTGACTTCAATTGAACAAACACGTTGGAAAACTTTCTTTGATCAGCAGCTGCAGCCAACTACCCACAGCCTCTGATCAATGTATTCCGACACTGAAGAGTCCGTCTGTCAGAATACAATGTCCCATCAAGGAGGATTCCTCCCTTCAACTCTCTTTCCATTTGTTGTTTTTATTTTATTTTCATTTACCCACTGGCTGAAAAAAAGAAAAAACTAACCATCTATACTCAACCTAAATTCCCATGCTACATCTGAACATGAACCAACTTTCTCCATGTTCACAAAGCCTGTTTAGAGACACAGCTCCTGGTTCATCGGGGATGGCTGCGTAACTCTGGTACACCCATGGTGTTATACTGTTGCTCCCTTTATTTCTGAAGGTTTACTAAACAATGCTTACACTAAAGTAGGAGTGCTCAACCCGTGGCCTGCAGGCCACATGTGGCCATTGGAGCCCTCTGATATGGCCCTCTACCTCAAATTGAATGTAGGAGTTTTGGTGCGCATTCAAAAAGTGCACAGCACCCACAAGATATAATAGCAAATAATATAAATACTATAGCAAAGTGCAACTTGCCAGCAGGACAGCCGCTGGTGCACTGCACTGCAGTCACAGTACAGGTAAAGCAAATCAGTGTGAAAGCAGCCTTATAGGGGCTCAGGACAGTAAAGGCTCATTTACATTTGTGGTTTGGGGGGGCAGCAAAACCATATAGTTGAGATGTGTTTTCGCCACCCCCCCACCCAACCACTGGTGTAGTGTCAGGGGTTGCAATGCGACCCCCCCTCCATGTTTTACACTTGAACAGGAGGGGTGGGGGCAGCATATAAAGGAGCCAATTCCTTCTATTTTCCTCCTGCAACCTCTGAAATTTGGCTTCTCTTCTCCCTCCCACAGGCATTCAGTTGCTGTAGGGGGAAAAAACGTTCATTTTGCTATTCAAAATAAAAAAAAATGAAATTTGGAATCATTTCATTTCATTTTGGCCCATGACCAGTTAGCAAAACACTTAAGTGACCTTCGCTCTTCATAAGGTTGAGCACCCCAGCACTAAAGTATTATAAAACACTTTGTAAGCCACATAACCCAGGCCTTGAATAAACCACAAATTATCTGAATTAGCTGTTCATCCAACAAGCAAACTGGTATATGTAAAATATGAACAGAATACTGCCATTTTTTCTGTGACAACAACTGATTTTACATACTTTCTGTTCCAGATATTGATGAGTGCTCTGTTGGAAACCCTTGTGGAAATGGAACTTGCAAAAATGTGATTGGTGGATTTGAGTGCACTTGTGAAGAAGGATTTGAGCCTGGACCAATGATGTCCTGTGAAGGTATTCCATTAAGTATATATTCTGTTATCCATACTACACACATTATATGGGTCATTTAAAATTTCATAAACCAAGTAAAACAAAATGCTGGATGTCAGTTTCATTAATCAGAATTTCATTATAATTGTTGTCACATATTTGCACAAATATTCAAAACCAATGAAAATGTGCTCAAATTGATCTAATCTCATTCCATGGTTTGTTACAGTAACCCCTATCTCCACCCCAAATAATGTGTAGAGGCATGTTAGGACTCAGAACCCAACAAAACTTTTTTTTTTCATTTTGGACAGAGTGAGGAGGAGTTGGAACTAGCCAGATTTTTAATGCATTATATTTGTCTGTCCCTATTGGAAGGATTTCCCTTCTCTTTCTGTCGGGACAGGAAGTGATAACAAATCTCTCCATGGGGGCACAGAGTGCTGCAAAACAGAAAAATGAGGAATGACAGTGGTACATCTGTTAGAATAATATTACTGGCTAGTCTCAGTGACAACTGCTTCCTTCATTTCTCATCCTACTGTCAGAGAAAGTGAGAAAATGTCCTCAATGGAATGGGATGCTGCACATTGCCAACAAATGGGTTAAATGTTTTTTCTTTTAATTTTGTATTGGTCTTCTTCTATTTTATCCTCATTGATGTATCCTTCTTTTAATAGATGTTAATGAATGTGCTCAGAACCCTCTGTTGTGCGCTTTTCGATGTGTCAACACCTATGGTGCATATGAATGCAAGTGTCCAGCTGGTTATGTGCTCAGGGAAGACAAGAGAATGTGCAAAGGTGAGTGCTATATACAAATGATTCAACAGGGTTATCTTCATAGGCAACTATAAACTAAATTCCTTCATTTGGGCTAGATTAGAATGAAGAAGCAGGAAACAAGGTGTCTGGGGCCTGAGGATGCTAATCAAATGGGCCTAGAAAGTGCTCTTCTCTTCTTTTTGTACTTTATATTCCAGCCTCTGATGATGACTGAATCTTGTTTAGTCTGACTAAGTTGTATAAATTGAGTGCATAACATGCATTTTATTACTTTGATGGTTGCTTGGTACAAGCTTTATTTTTTTACATTGATAAATGAGAGACATTTTATTACCAACATCACTCTCCATTTTACAGATCAGGATGAATGCGAAGATGGTCTTCATGACTGTGACTCTAAACAAATGATGTGCAAGAATCTCATTGGAACATATATGTGTATATGTGGACCAGGGTTCCAGCGTAGACCGGATGGTGAAGGCTGTATAGGTACAATAGAATGACATTCAGTTTGGAAACCATGCGTATCCTGTATATAAACTGTGCTTAAGTGCAGTATATTACGTGTGTCCGGGTCGAAGCATTTACAGTCCATTTAGAGGCTCACCATGTACTTACAATGTACAAGACTAGTGCAGTTGTCTACTGAATTCAGATTTTATTTTGAGAAAATACCACATTTTACATTTTGTTATATAGTGGGCCATTGCAGGACATAAACATCATGTTTCTTGTCAGATTTATGGACACATTTGATTTTTATCACAAGAGTTCACCCAGTAAAATTTTGTCTTCACCCATTGGACCCTTAAATTTGTTTTTTGTACTCATGAGAGAAGCCTAGCTGGAGGTATTAGAAGAAGCCCATATGCAGGGGTTTCTATATGCTGGTCAGTTCCAGTGTGGATTAACCTTTTTCCATATTGGAAAGCTGTAAAAAGTAGACCAGAGTGAACTAGATAAGTTAGTATTGCTAGATATTTGGTAGATCATGCTGAACTCCCACAACATGCAATTCATATTTGTTTGTTTTTTTGTGTGATTTGCATGTATAAGTTAAAGCTGAACTCTGGGATAAGCAAATATTGTCTAGATACAAAAGTCATGTGTATTATTACTTGAATCTTGGAGTGGCTTTGTATATTTCTTCTAGATCTGTGTAGTAATCCAGTGTGAAACTTTTCCTGTAATAAAGACCGGTCACTGGTGCTCTCCCCCTCCTTGTGCAGGGTGACTGGTCTTGTATCCACCCCCTCCTGTACTTCTCAGCAAGCAGGCTGCTGGATCTGCACAAACTGCGTGAAGCACAGTGATGAAGGCACTGCAACTTTTACAAGTTATTAGCTGAATTTGTAAAGGTGTTTGGTACACAAAAAGTAGATTTATATCCTACTTGGCTATTGAGGGACATATTTAAATACTTTTTTTATGTCTGTTGTTCAGCTTTAATAATAACGCCATCATGCTTATGCTATGTTTAACATGATTGTTTTTGTTTTATAAGATCTGAATGAGTGCCTTAAGCCTGGGCTGTGTGAAAATGGAAAATGTCTGAACACCATGGGCAGCTACAAGTGTGAGTGCAAAGACGGATTCAATGCCAGCATTACAGAGACAGAATGTATTGGTGAGTATGGAGAGCTTTTTACAAGTCAGAGAGACAACAGACAGAGAAATATATAAATGTATCATCTAAATCACTTCAGATAGATAAAGGTAAAAGAGAACATATGGATGTGGTTGGCATACAATAATTGCCTTGTTAGCTGTTTTTGCAAAGATACAATTATGAATGTCAGCTCGGAAAGTTGGATCACCCGTCTAATGAAGAGACCATCGTGCTGCTCAATATACTAATACTTAAAATAATGTAAAACACGTACAGTTGCATGCATATAACAATATGACAGATGGCAACCACAGAACCAACAAATCTATTTTTGCATTTGTTACAGACAACCGTCTCGGATATTGCTTCACCGACGTATTACATACAATGTGCCAGCTTGGATCGTCAAACCAGAATTCTGTTACCAAGTCTGAGTGTTGCTGTAATGGTGGCAGGGGCTGGGGTATTACCTGTGAGATCTGCCCCTTCTCTGGAACCGTTCAGTTTAAAAAGCTTTGTCCATATGGCAAAGGATATACAACTGGAGGAGAAGGTATGTACTCAGATCAATGTAATATATTTTAATTGTAAAAGGAGAAACGTTGTTACCCACCTCACCAGTGTACAGTGATAGTGCTTTTATACTCTACAATACATAACTGTGGTGGTGCTCCCAAAGGATTGCAACAAAATCAATTACACAGTGAAGAATGCCACCTTATGGGCCAAATGAGTATTAGCTTGTCAATTTATTCTGTATAAATACAGTATATATATATATATATATATATATATATATATATGTTATTTATTATTATTATACAGGATTTATATAGCACCAACAGTTTGCTCAGCGCTTTACAATATAACGGGAGACAATACAGCAACAATACAGTTCAATACAAGAGGGAAAGGAGGGAACTTACAATCTAAGAGGGAGGGGCTAGTGGTACAAAGGGTAGTAACTGTGGGGGATGGACTGGTAGGAAGAGTAGAAGATTCCATTATTAGCTGAGGGCAGGATAGGCTTCCCTGAAGAGATTGGTTTTCAGAGATCGCCTAAAAGTGAGCAGAGTAGGTGGTAGTCTGGTTAATTGAGGTAGAGAGTTCCAGAGGATGGGGGAAGCTCTGGAGAAGTCCTGGAGATTAGCATGGGAGGAGGAGACAAGGAAGCTAGAGAGCAGGAGGTCGTGCGAGAAGCGGAGAGTACGGTTTGGGTGATATTTGGAGACAAGATTGGTGATGTAATTTGGGGCAGAGTTATAAATGGCTTTATATGTTATTGTTAATGTTTTGAATTTTATAAGTTGGGCAATGGGAAGCCAGTGGAGGGATTGGCAGAGAGGGGTGGCAGAACGGTTAGTAAGGTGGATGAGTCTGGCAGCAGCATTCATGATAGACTGAAGAGGGGATAGCATGCGATGAGGTTGGCCAATGAGGAGGGAGTTACAATAGTCAAGGCAAGATATAACAAGGGAGTGAATAAGTTGCTTAGTGGTTTCCGAGGTTAGGAACGGCATATCTTGGAGATGTTGCGGAGGTGAAGTCTACAAGATTTGGACAGTGATTGGATTTGGGGGTGAAAGGACAGATGGGAGTCTAGGGTTACACCTAGTACCCTGGCATGAGGGGAGGGAATGATGATTGTGTTATTGATCTTGATGGAGAAGTCAGGGGAGGGGGCATGGGATGGGGGGAATACTAAGAGCTCAGTTTTGGAAAGATTGAGTTTGCGGAAGTGGAGTGACATCCATGCCGATATGTTGCTTAGTAGGGTAGTAATGCGAGAGGAGACTGAAGGGGGGAGGTGAGGAGTAGAAAGATAGATTTGTGTGTCATCAGCACAGAGATGGTATATATATATATATATATATATATATATATATATATACACACACACACTGTGTGTATATGGATATATTTAAGGCCAGTGCCTGAAGGAGTTAGGCAAGCAACAAAACTAGAATGTTGAAGATCACGTTACATAACTGAAAAAAATAAACAAATCCATCAAGTTCAACCAATAGAAAAAAAACAACAAATAGAAAAGTGAAGTGGAAATTTAATTATGCAGCTAAATAAGAAGAGTCCACCATTTCTGGAAACTGAAAGTGAGATTTAGGTGGAGACAGACATATTCAATCTCACAACAATTGCTTAGGACTCTATGGGGCTCCCCCAGCGACTTCACCTTGAAGCCTGAGCTAACCTTGAGTTATACAGATAGCCATGGAATTACTGTAACCTATAGCAAGATGAGATTCTATAGTTCATTAAGGGATACTGTATTTATAGTGTAACTAAAGACAGAACTTTTTTTAGTTTTGTATAGAAAGGAGAGGGATTTTATTTCTGGCTTTACCCCCGTTAGGGAGATTTACCTTTTCTATTTGTCCTGTTTACCGTTATCACCAAAAGGGAAAGTGAAGGAAAATCCCAAATTTTCGGTTGTCACCAGAACAGGAAGAGAGGTGAAATCTTCCATTGGACGCACTAGGTCTGGTGACTCTGGTAACATCCAGGATATCCTCGCTCTGAAGGGATTTCTTCTCACTTACAGTTTAGGACAGGAAGTGAAGGGAAATCTCCCTTTAATTTTGCAGTTTCCCATATGACAGGGGTTACCACTCTTCCATACTCCATCCAAAATTAAAAAAGTGATAAAGCTGGGCAGTGTAAGAAATGGGACTTTGGGCAAATTATACTGCATATAATCTCACTTCATTATATTATTTCCTATGTTTTACAATTTATATATTATTTTCGTTTTCTTATCTAGATATTGATGAATGTCATGTTCTACATGGAATTTGTCGCAATGGACAGTGTGTAAACGAAAGAGGAACATTCAGATGTGAATGTAATCTAGGTTATATCCCTGATGTGACTGGCACATCCTGTATAGGTAAGTTGCAGGTATATGCTATAGTTCACATTCCATGCTTGCAGTTCTGTTGGAGACATAGATAGAACTATTAATGGATGAGCTAATGAGAGAATCAAAATAGGCAGTATTAAATAAGTATAGTCATACAGTTTTTCCTATGAAAGATTTATATTGGCCTTATCATATATCTCTATTTACTCTGAGCCTTCTGCTTGTGTTTGTGAGTAACACTGATTCCTAGCATGTGAAGTCATTAATTAGGTCTCATAATGGACATTTGTACAGCTGCTCCTAGGGACGCCTGGTGTGTTTTTTTTTTTCCTACCTCTAAACTCCCCTGAATGTTATGCAGGCCATAGATGGGTCGAAAATCGGCCGATTTTTCGGCCGAAAATAAAATCGGCCGATTTTTGGATCGTTAGTGGGCTAAATGTTCGGCCGTTTTTCGGTACTTTGGCAGATTTTTTTTATCGGTAAAGTTGGAAAAAATCGGCCGATTTTGCCGATCGGCCGATTTTCGCGGCAATGATGGGCAAATCGGCTGATCTTTTACCGATAAAAAAATCTGCGCATGAGCAGTGACCTGCAAGAGGAAGACAAAAAGAAGAAAAAGAAGAAGAGGATAAAGAGGAAGAAGGGGAAGAGAAGAAGAGGATGAAGAAGAAGAAGAAGAGGATGGAGAAGAAGAGGAAGAAGAAGAAGAGGATGAAGAAGAAGAGGAAGTAGAGGATGAAGAAGAGGAGAAGAGAAGAGGAAGAAGAAGAGGATGAAGAAGAAGAGGATGAAGAAGCTGAAGAAGAGGATGAAGAAGAAGAGGAAGAAGGAGAAGAAGAGGAAAAAAAGAAGAAGATGCAGAAGAAGATGCAGAAGAGGATGCAGAAGAGGATGACGAAGAGGAAGAAGAAGAGGATGAAGAACAAGAAGAGGAAGAAGAAGAGGATGATGAAGAAGAGGATGATGAAGAAGAAGAGGATGAGGAAGAAGAGGAAGAAGAAGAAGAGGATGAAGAAGAGAATGAAGAAGATGAAGAAGAGGATGAAGAAGAAGAGGAAGAAAAAAGAAGAAGAGGAAGAAGAGGATGAAGAAGAAGAAGAAGAGGATGAAGAAGAGGAATTCCAGTCCGGCAAAAAGTGTCCCTGCAGAGAGCTCTGCTATTTCTTTGACAGTTCCTTGACATTTATAGCGGTTGCTACATTGTATCTATTTGTTTCTGAATAAAAACCTCTGTATCCTAAATGGATACAAATAGATACATTGTTGCAACCGCTATAAATGTCAAGGAACTGTCAAAGAAATAGCGGAGCTCTCTGCAGGGACACTTTTTGCCGGCTGTAGACGGGATAAAAATCGGCCGATTTTTTTTACCGTTGCTGGTAATGTCGGCCGCTTGAACGACCGATTTTTCGTTTTTTTAAAAGAAAAATCGTCCGATTAATGGCCTGCATTAGTCTATGTTTCCATGCACACATAAAATTTTAGAGGTGTTTAGTGGTAGGAGTATTTAGAGGCAGGAAAAAACCCACTGCCAGTGCGACCAGGAGTAGCAGAGATTTGGCAGAAAAAATGCTTGAGGCTTCTAAACATGCGTTACACTAGGTGCATTTAGCGTTTGAGCATTAATCAATTTCAGTGGCCAGAAAAAAATTATTTGTTGTGGCCAATGAAATGAATTAACACCCAAATGCTTGACGCGGCTAAACACACCTAAATCCGTTACACACTTTTACAAGGGTGAGGCTTTTTTTTTTGCCAAAACACTGCTGTCAGGAGGAAAGGCTTCTAGTAGACTTAAGAAAACATCCTGTGTGCGTGAAGCCTAATAGGGCAGCAAATGTCAAACTTTGCGTGACCGCTAACTACCTAATGTCCGGTTCAGACAAAGTAAACCTGGCCATAAACCTGTGGCATTTTGTAAAATCTTTGTTCTCGGTTCCTTTAATTTTCTGTTAGTGGTATCAAACTAATGTTTGTTGGTTGATTGATTGTAGTAAAAAAAAATTTCCCAGGAACAGGATGGAAATTGTTTCTCAAATGAATGTTGTTTTTATTCAGGAAAGATCATACATATTGTAATGAAACTTGTTTAATACTCCTGGGATTCCATTCAAATATTTATTTATTTCAGGTACTTATATAGCGCCGTCAATTTACGCAGCGCTTTACATATATATTGTACATTCACATCAGTTCCTAACCCTCAAGGGGCGTGCAATCTAAAGTCCCTAATGTACATTCATATACTAGGGCCAATTTAGACAGGAGCCAATTAACCTACCAGCATGTCTTTGGAGTGTGAGAGGAAACTGGAGTACCCAGAGGAAATCCACACAGGCACAGGGAGAACATGCAAACTCCAGGCAGGTGGTGCCGTGGTTGGGATTTGAACCGACGACCCTAGTACTGCCAGGCGGAAGTGCTAACCATTTAGCCACTGTGCTGCCCATGTAGCAGATCTGGTTGAAATTTTAGGGGCTTTCAAACATAATTAGTTGACTCAATGATAGTAAGAAAAAATGTTCTGAGGAACTATTTTTCCATGAAGGTTCAAACAAAAATCTGTGTCTGGCCACCTTAAGTGAAATTGGTTTTAAAGGTTCAAGGTTTTTTACCTTAATACATTCTCTGCATTGGGGTAAAAAACCTTCTGCATTCAGATCCCCTTTATACTTACCTAAATTTGATCTCGATCCAGTGCTGTGCATGAGAGCAGAAGCTCTCTATTCTTTCTCCCTGCTCATAGGCCCAGGTACAGCATTGGTTCCTGCTGCTGTCAATCACAGCCAATGAGGAGGGAGCAGGGGCCAAGCTACACTCTGTGTGCCAATGGACACACAGAACACTGTTCAAAAGCAAGCCTGCATGGTTGCCCCCATAGCAAGCAACTTGCAATGGCAGCACTTGGCGGGGGGGGGGGGGGGGGGGAGCCACGAGAGTCAGCAGGGGATTCGAGAAGAGGAGGATCAGGGCTGCTCTGTGCAAAACCACTGCACAGAGCAGCTAAGTATGACATTATTTGTTATTTTGTTATAAAAAAAATTACCTTTAGAATCACTTTAAGCTTAATAAGGTAATAAGGTGACAAACATACATTTTTCATGGGAAGTCAAAATAATTATGTTAATGTAACACTGAATAGTTTCTTCAATATACAAAGATGTTTACTTTGATTAAGGCATAGGAAAGAATTGACTGGAATCCTATACTGTTTGGCTTGAACTGATGTGGTATTATCATTCCAGATCTTGATGAATGTGGTCAGTCTCCCAAACCTTGCAATTTTCTTTGCAAGAATACTGACGGAAGTTTCCAGTGCTCCTGTCCACGTGGTTATGTTTTGCAGGAAGATGGAAGAAGCTGTAAAGGTAATGTCGCTCTGGGACCTGGGTACTGTGTATGCAGAACAGAGGAGTCTTATATGTACAGCATAAACATAATACCTTGGCATGTTCCTTGCCAGACTACATGTATCCTTTGTGATACTGTTGACATTATTGCCCGGCCATTTTTCAGTTTTCAGTGCTGTTAGTTTGACTATTAGTTACTACGTCATGCAACACCGTACAGAAAATATTATAGCATTTTATGGCATATATAAAGCTTTTTTTAACTATAAAGAGAAAAAAAAAGTCCTAGCATGTTGCCTAAAAATAATTTCCCTTGCATTTTTTTGAAAAAAAACCCCTTCAAATAAAAATGCCAGGACAGTACAAAAACCCCAAATTACCTTTTTTAGAGGGTAGACTCCCCAAGGTTTTTTTTTTTTGTTTTTTTTTTAATGAAAATTTTATGAAAGACGTGACACTGTGACAGTAGTAATGGCAATAGTTAATAGTTACATGGGTAAGATATAACCACTGAAAAAAAAAGATAGTGACAACCTACAATTTTATCCTTCACAAACTATATAAGACACAATTAAACCATTAGCCAATGAGATAATGTTTACTATCCCCAAGGATATTTCATTTTTTGCCACAATTATTTGCAAATAAAGAGACATGCTGGTATTGAGGTGCTTAAAACATGGAGATTGGTAATGGTGCATGAGATACATTAATGTACAGGTCATACACAGGGGGAGGAGGAGGTGAAGGGGTAGATGTGCAGATGTGTAGGATAAGGATGGTGAGAGGGTTAATATACATGTCACATACCGAGAGAGGCTGGAGATCAGATGTACAGGAGAGGAGTTGGGATGGGGGTGGGGTTGAAAGGGTTAAGAAAAGGATCCCACAGTCAGTAAAAGTTCCTCCCAATGGGGGTTGATATTCTAAATACAAATAGGCTGCTTACATTGCAAGGAAAGTTTCATTTTTCAAGGTGATGTTCCCTTAATTTAGAAAATGTGGTGAAATTTCACTTTGCAAAGAATAAACAATCACGTACAAATTAAATTAAATTTTAAAAAAATGGCATTTTTGCTTGCACCTGATTGGGTGATGGAAGTCAGCAGAGCTTTACTTCATTCACTGTGCTCTGGGGTAATTCCTTTGCAAAATTCAAATTCACTTGAAAAGTGAAAAGTCAATTTGCCTTTATTAAATCAACCCGGAATGAACCAGCTGCTGCTGCTAATCCATTCTTTCATTCTTTCTTGATAAATTACTATGGTAGGGAAGGAATCAACAATGTAAACAGTAGTATGGTAATGTTACTATAATCAGCCATCACAGCGATAACAGAAACATAGAAATAGTGTTTGGTTTTTTTTTTTTTTTGTTACTGAGCCACTCAGATCGGTTTGGTACACTGGAGTAGATTTTCTAAAACCGGAGCACTCAGAATCTGGTGCATCTGTGCATGGCAGCCAATCAGCTTCTAACTCCAGCTTACTCAATTAAGGTTTGGCAAAGAAAAAAAAAAATGGAAGCTGATTGGTTTCTTTGCAGAGCTGCACCAGATTTTGCACTCTACAGCTTTAGTAAATAACCCTCACTGTGTTTGTGAACCCAGCCGTCCTTTTAACCAGGGCAACGGCTGCCTGATGGTGCTTTACTCAGTCCACTGAGTTAGTAACTTGCTACTTCACCATTTATAAATGTATCATAAAAAGCAGTCAACTTGTACACACAAACGCTATGCACATTGCCAGAAAGATAGTAAAAATTGAAGTCAAGAAACTGTCCTCCTCTGAGCCACTATAGTCGGATAGACCACTATAAACTGTAGACAGATATGTGGTTTATGTCCCATTCGGTTATTTACGTCTGCTCATGCAGTGGGGTCAGTTTACTAAAGTAGAGCATGTTCAATATGCAAAGTAATATTTCCCTTCGCAGGGGTATTTTGTCTTAGTTTTTAGTGGGTGTGGTGAAATTTAACTTTGCAAAAATTACACAATCAGGTGCAAGGAGAATTTTAAAAAAGGGGGTTGTGCTTGCACATATTTGGATGATTGATGCTAGAACAACTTCACATCAATCACTAAGCGAAGTGAGAATCCCCTTCCAAAGTAAAAACAATAATTAGTGATTAGTGTATACTTCTTTAGTAAATTGACACCAATAGGACAGTTTATAAAAACAGATTGCATGTCATTGTGGTAATTGTCCAGATCGCCATCTATTAGGTTGGAATATAAGATGCAGGACGAGAATAAGTGAAATGTGATTGTTTGAAGATAGTGACATACAGCTAAGTTGAAGAACTTACCCACCTGGAGCAGAGAATACTACGACCAGACTGCATTGGGGTTTTATTTCTGATCACAGTGCAAATACCATCTATGTGTTTATCTTTATAGATCTTGATGAATGCGCAACCAAGCAACATAATTGTCAGTTCATTTGTGTGAACACAATGGGAGGATTTACATGTAAATGTCCTCCTGGATTTACACAGCATCATACTGCCTGCATTGGTAAGTGCAATATTATATATTACCGGATTGTGTACTTTGTACTTGCTAGTACATAATAGGGAACTTTGTGAAATATCCTCTCATTTCTAAAGTCTAATGTTTACCACTGTTTAAAAGCTGTGAATAATTAAAAGCAGAATATACCCTAATTGAGCTTAATGCCTGCATTCACAGAATGTCTTGTATGAAATGAATAAAAAGCATTCTCTCATTGGACAAGGCGGAGAGGAGGTTCGGTGATGTCCCTTTTTTCACCTTGTCCAATCAAAGATTGTGTTCATTGAAGAATTACAATGCATTCTTTGTATGGTGGTAGTGCCAAGCAAATGATCCCCTGTGGTCAATGTGTAGAGGGAAAGCCACTCGCATAAGACTTGGAAGATTACAGGTAATAGTGCCAACTACTACAGTAATTGTCAACTTCCCCAGTCGCCGCTCAGGTATGAGATATGCATACTTACAAGCTGAACCAATGTAAGTTTGCAATAAAGATCATACCAGGAATTCAGTATTAATGTGTATAGGGCTTGATTTTTTTTAGTGTTGGAGTTGAGGTTAAATGCTAAGAGCTCACTTTGGCTGTTAAATATTGTAAGGGGAAGGAGGTTACGTGATAAAATGGTTCTAAAGGCAGAAGGTTTGTTACCTTAATGAACTCTATGCATTAAGGTAAAAAACCTTCTGGGTGCAGTTCCCCTTTCAGTCCCCCCCCCCCCCCCCCCCCCCCCCCCCCCCCCTCCCTCATACTTACATGAGCTCCATCTCGATCCAGCCATGTGCATGAGAGTCACAGCTCTCCTCATTGGCTCAAACAGCAATGGGAGCCATTGACTGCTGCTGCTGTCAATCACAGCCAATGAGGAGAGAGCAGGGGCCAGGGCTGAGCCACGCTCTGTGTGTGAATGGAAAATATCCATTCACAGAAGTGCAACTCGATAGCCATCCTGCTTGAGTGTCCCTATAGCAATAGGCTTGCTATTGGGGGCAATTGGCTGGGGAGAGGAGCCAGGACCAATGGGGGAGGATCCAAAAAATAGAGGATCGGGGCTGCTGTGTGCAAAATCATTGCACAGAGCAGGTAAGTATAACATGTTTGTTAGTTTTTTTTATTAATTAAAATCACTTTAAGAGCTCCCTTTGGGGGTTGGTTAAGTGTTCAGCTAGGTGAGGGTTAGGTTTAAGAATGGGGAGGGGGTGTTTAAGTGTAGGGATAAAGGTGTCCATTTATGAAAGAGAGAAAAGCCCAGATCCTGATGATCTTGGCCGACCTCTCATGTGCAAGTTTATGAAACTGAGGTGAGGAGAGGAGAATATGTTCTTTACTGCTCATCACAGGACACACCATTCTGACACTCGTTTTAGAGAGATGGCCGGTTTATGAAGGTGACATCTGAAGATCTCACTGGCCATCTCTGTAAAATACAGTATCTCCATCCCATCTTCTCCAGCCCAGAGGTAGAGAATCTAGGTGAGAAGCTGCTGTGATAGGAGGAAAAAGGCTTCTTTCTGATATCACCACCAATGGGGTTAATAAATATATATATATATATATATATATATAATGTTTTTAGATATACATAATGTTTTTAGATATATATATATAAAACTGTGTCTGTCTGCATTTCAGACTGCACAGCAACAAAATGTGATTATTTTACAACTGATACATCAATGCAGAATCGCGCAATTCTGGTCGCGATTCCAAATGACGCTAAAATCATGTCAAAATATGCAATGTGCTTTTGGGTGCCATTCATTGTTAATAGCAGCCCAAATACAGTTAACAGACTTGTGTTTTGCCTCACATTTTGTCTTTTGACAAATGTGCTGCAAACACACCAAAATGTGCATTGAGAAAACGCAGACCCTTCCATGCCCAAAAAGGTTAAATTTGTTTTTTTTTTTTTGGCCCTTTTTAATGCGCATTTTTGTGCATTTTTTAATACACAATTTAGCGCTTTTTTCAAAACACATTTTGGCACGATTTTCAACGCTTTTCAGCACATTTTTTATTTGCACTTTGGTGCTTTTTAATGTGTAATTTGGCTCATTTTTTAAACTTCTTTTTTGTGTGTGTTCTGGAAATGCATGCAAAATGCATGTCATGCTTGAGGAGCCATTAATTGTTAATGGCACCCCAAAAGTGGCTAGCAGATGTGCGTTTGGCCAAAATGTGCATAAACCACATCAAAATTCACATTTAAAAAAATTGCCAAAATATGTGTTAAAACAAGTGCCAAAACGTGTTTCAAACCACACGAAAATGCTTGTTAAAATAACCTGCTCCAAAATGTTTGTTGTAAGAAAACTCCAAAATGTTCATTAAAAAAAAAAGCCACAATGCGAAAAAAAAGGACCAAAACACACATTTGAAGAAGGTGCCAAAATGTGCGTTATAAAAAGTGCCGTGCTCGGTGCTTATTTTATTTTCATGTGATCTGTTTAACCTTTTACTCGGCCAAATTGTAGTCTCCCAATATCCCGGGAAATCACATGCAGCCCTCCCCCTTCTAAACAGATCTCATTCTCAGAGGAAAAACTTCTCTCTTCTCCTCCTGAGAACAAATGTTCTCGGCTTCATAAACAGAAGGTCAGAGGAGATGATTTTCCTCCGAGAACTGAAATGAGAGAAATTCTCATGTCACTGGCTGGCCACTATTCACTTGGCTGGGAACCCCACACAGACTCCCAGAGCTGAATTTAATGGATTCCTCCTGAAAGGTAAGTATTTTTATGGTCTGTATACCTTTAACTTGTGTGATTCAGGGAGTAGGGGGTAAGCAGGGGTAGGTTGTAGATAACGTCATAGATCTGTTTTAAAGCTAAATGACATTGCAGATCATTTTTAGCTTCATGCTTAGTATATAGATGGTCTTAGGAGCTTCTACAGATTGCTGTCACTCATTATTCCTGGTATGATTATTGAGGGGCTTTAAAAACAAATGATTGAATATACATCATTTCAATAAATCTACACATACTAAGGAATGTCAGCAAGTGGGTTACAAGTTCATTATTCCAGTTTCAAGTATGACAGAAAAGCCTAATGTCATACTGAATGTTGTGCATGTTTAGAACAAGCAATTTGGCGTATATCCATCACTGTAAAATTAGAACCATATAATGCACATTAATTAGGAACACCAAAAATCCCCAGTAAGGAACTGTTATTAAATTACAGTAATAATAACACTAGAGTGAAGCAAATTACTACTGAACCATTGAAATCTAGACACAAATGTGGCTACATTACAACCAGCTTGTAGGAGATGAATGGTGCTTCTGTGTCGGTATATACAGAATAAGAACACATACAGAGAGATACACCCAGAACAAGAGAAGTGGTACTGTGCATCATCCCTTCATACAGAATAAAAACAAATACAAAGAGATAAACCCAGTTTTCAGAACAAGCAAAGTAGGACTGTGCCCATTTATACATACAAAATAAATACTAGAGATGAGCTTAGGTTTGGTGCAAACCCAAGTTTGACCAAACTCGGAAGACTGCTGTCAGTGTTGGACCAATCAGCAAAGGAGACTCCAAGCCCCACTGCTACATATATACAAAGGGGCGGAATGCTGATGACATTGACAATATTAACCCATGTGGCCATTATAGGTCAATTATGTCACATGCATCTTTGCATCCTTTTGTGTATATGCAGCTGCAGGGTGGGGAATCCCCCATCCACAGCTGATTGGACCTCCACTGAGAGCTGCCTTCAGGGATTGGCTGAACTTACCGCTGGATTGACCCTGGAGTCGAACCCAAGCGAATCCCTAATAAGGACACAGAGAGGATACAGAAGGTCCACAAGAAAATTATACGCAGCCTTCAGAACAAGAAAAGTGCAACTTTGTACCTGTCTGTCTGCATCTTGTACCTGTCTGTCTGCATCTTGATGGATTCATCAGAACCACACGGATGTACACTCTCAGATGAACTTGGAGGTCGGTGCAGCCAGTTGCCTGTCATTGATTTCAATAGGCTGTCTGCACACCCTGCATGGAACACCTGTGCATTCCTGGGGGCTGAAGACAGCCATTCATGTAGACATATGGATCAGTACAGCCAGCCATTCATGTAGACATATGGATCAGTAAAGCCATTCACGTAGACATATGGATCAGTAGAGCCATTTATGTAGACATATGGATCAGTACAGTCATTCACGTAGACATATGGATCAGTAGAGCCATTCACATAGACATATGGATCAGTACAGTCATTCACGTACGTAGACATATGGATCAGTACAGTCATTCACGTAGACATATGGATCAGTACAGTCATTCACGTAGACCTATGGATCAGTACATTCCGTAGACCTATGGATCAGTACAGTCATTCAGTAGACATATGGATCAGTACAGTCATTCACGTAGACATATGGATCAGTACAGTCATTCACGTAGACATATGGATCAGTACATCCATTCACGTAGACATATGGATCAGTACAGCATTCACGTAGACATATGGATCAGTAGAGCCATTCACGTAGACATATGGATCAGTACAGTCATTCACGTAGACATATGGATCAGTACAGTCATTCACGTAGACCTATGGATCAGTACAGTCATTCACGTAGACCTATGGATCAGTACAGCCATTCACGTAGACATATGGATCAGTACAGCCATTCACATACACATATGGATCAGTACAGCCATTCACATAGACATATGGATCACCATTCACATAGACATATGGATCAGTACAGCCATTCACATAGACATATGGATCAGTACAGCCATTCACATAGACATATGGATCAGTACAGCCATTCAGTACAGCAATTCACATAGACATATGGATCAGTACAGCCATTCATAGACATATGGATCAGTACAGCCATTCACATAGACATATGGATCAGTACAGCCATTCACATACACATATGGATCAGTACAACCATTCACGTAGACATATGGATCAGTATAGCCATTCACATACACATATGGATCAGTACAGCCATTCACGTAGACATATGGATCAGTACAGCCATCACATACACATATGTACAGCCATTCACATACACATATGCCATTCACATTCACGTAGACATATGGATCAGTACAGCCATTCACGTAGACATATGGATCAGTACAGTCATTCACATACACATATGGATCAGTACAGCCATTCACGTAGACAGCCATACGTGACATATGGATCAGTACAGCCATTCACATACACATATGGATCAGTACAGCCATTCACGTAGACATATGGATCAGTACATCCATTCACGTAGACATATGGATCAGTACAGCCATTCACATACACATATGGATCAGTACAGCCATTCACATACACATATGGATCAGTTATACAGCATATGGATCATTACAGCCATTCACGTAGACATATGGATAAGTACATCCATTCACGTAGACATATGGATCAGTACAGCCATTCACATACACATATGGATCATTACAGCCATTCACGTAGACATATGGATCAGTACAGCCATTCACGTAGACATATGGATCAGTACAGCCATTCACGTAGACATATGGATCAGTACAGCCATTCACGTACACATATGGATCATTACAGCCATTCACATACACACATATAGATCAATACAGCCATTCACATACACATATGGATCAGTACACCACCCATGTGAATAAGGTCTAATGACACATACAGAGGATTACACCTACAAATCTTTCAGAACAAGAGACGTGAGACTGTGCATCATCCCCTCTTACAGAATATGGATACACAGGTTGCAGAATAAAGGAAGTGGGACTATGCATCATCCATACATATAGAATAAAGGCACATACAATTACAAGAGAAGTAGTACTTTGCATCATCTCTTCATACAGATTAGGGACACATACAGAGAATTACATGCAGGTTTTAGAATAAGTGACGTAGTACTTTGCATCATCTGTAACTACAGAATAAGGACACATACAGAGAATGATACCCAGTTTTCAGAAAATGCAAAGTGTTACTTTGGATCACCAGAACATACTGTAACTACAACACATAGAGGGAATCACACCCAGGTTCAGAACAAGTAAAGTGGCACTGTCCAGTGTGAACACCGGTTCTTCAGCACTTTTTTTGCAAGTCATGTTGTATATTTCTCTTTGTCTAGTAATAGACACACATTTTCCTGGGAGATCATTCTTTAAGCCACCTCAAAGATACGCTCCTTCCTGCATGGTCCGGAACAACCCAACAACCTCATTTTAGCTCAGACTATTTGCTAGTGCACCTCGGACAGGCTCCCATGGGACATCCTCTTAGATTTGCATTATGGTATCATTTTGTGTGTAAAATAGAGAAAATTAAGATGATTTTACGTTAAAGTATAACTAAAGGCAAATCTTTTTTTTTTTTTAGACAGAGTGGAGATTGATTAGGACACCTTTCAGTTTTTATTGCTGTCTGTGCCCCCCACCCCCTTCATTAAGGAGATTCACCCTATTTGTCCTGTTTACCATTTGCATTGAAAATGAAAGTAAAAGAAAATCCCACATTTTGATTTGCCCCCAGAGAAGTAATAGAGGGGGAATTTTCCAATGGGGACACTATCATTGTAAATGAATCAAGGAATTCCCTTCATTTACAATGATTTCCTCTCACTTCCTGTTCTTCTTGGCTATGGCAGGAAGTGAAGGGAAATCTCCACAATGCAACACGATTGGCGAAAAAAATAAGACAGGGGTTATAACTTTCCCCTGCTCTATCCAAGACAAAAAAAGGTTTGCCTATAGTTCTACTTTAAAACAAACCAACATGGTTGTCAACATTCTCAGTCATGTGTTATATTCTCCTATCTGATACCATCTAGATAACAATGAGTGCGCTCAAGAAGTGAACCTGTGTGGTGCTAAAGGCGTTTGCCAGAATACTCCAGGCAGCTATGTGTGTGATTGCCAGCGTGGCTTTTCCCTCGATCAGAGTGGAGCAACATGTGAAGGTATTACATTTATTATGGAACAGAAATGCCATTTCACAAGTTTTATATTCTACTTTCTGGCATAACCGTGTCCTACTATATAGGCTACATGCATGTGCCAATTTATATTACATAGTTACATAGTTAGCCTGGCTGAAAAAAGACAAAAGTCCATGCAGTTATATTATTATAGTATTTACTACCATGTTGTTGATAACCTATCACTGCCTAGAAAAACACAAACACGTCTTTGTCTTTTCCATTTTTCTGTTATTTCTTTAATGTTGTCCTTTGTACTAAACAGAAATCCCAGTTCTTTCCTGGCTCCAAAATGTCTTGTAGTTGAGCTAGAAAAACATTGCCGTGTCGGTATAATCTGGCCGGTGCTGTGCCCGGGGGGCTGCCTTTTTCTGAGGTCCTACACAGGGCATTGCAGAAACATTTGTAACTTGCTAACTGGAACAGGGGCTTGTTTATATGGCAAGCTTAGTCAAGGGAAATGTCTTTGTTTATCGATGCAGGAAGTCTTTTCTCAGTTATAACATAATGGCTGCTACATGCTGGAGTGTCTTCCACTATGTAAGAATATTGTCCAAAGCCCTGAGACCTTTAAAGTATATTTGATTAAGATAAGTAATTTGAACAAATATATATTCTAATTTTAAAACAAAACATATTCTTTATACGGAAAATATATGGCTTGAACTGTAATCTAGTTAAAGTAGAAGAAAAGCCCCAGTAAATGCAATGGAGTCCTTCACGTCATTTTTGTGAAAGTACCGTAAAATAGTTACATAGTTAGTCTGGCTGAAAAAAGACAAAGAGTCCATCCAGTTCAACCATTAAAAAAAAAGTTATAATCCTACACCCACAGTTGATCCAGTGGATCCCCCTGATCCCCCGAGAGGCAATCAGATATTCCCTGAAAATGTCCTGCTTCCTATATTTTAAAGATGTAGCCTTGGTGCGAGATTCCAGACTAGGCTCAAGCTGGTTGATGACACTTGGAGGTTGTTTGCCTTGTATTGAACCTAAAAGGCATGATGCAGGGAGGTACTAGGTTGTCAGTCAGCCTCCATTGGCAAAAAGAGCATGAGATAGGCACAAATGCATTACACCCAGAGCTGTAGTAGCATTGAGAGTGGTAAAAGCGTTTATTGAAGTGTCTCCATTACAGCCATTGAAATGTTTCAGGATCAAGATTTGGTGCCTAATATATCAAGAATGATAGCTGTAGAGGGAAGGCATGACAATTAGTCATAAGGATTGCCACAGATGAAATAAAATTTACCTTGCCTTCTACTAAAAATGATTTCTTTAAAGTTGAATTCCAGGGAAAGCAAAAATCCTCCCTTGCCATGGGGCTGTCCCCACACTACAAAGATAAAATGCAGTGTTACTTAGCTGATTCCCCACTTTCTGCAGCTCTGGTGGTGACAGATCCTCTGATGCTATCAAGCACAATGCAGACTCTGTTGCCCTGTACAGGACAAGATGACACCTCCAGAGCACATGGGAGCAGAGGACAATACCGGCTGCCAGAGGAGTGGTGGATTGGTTCGATTTAACTGCTTTTCCCAGTCCTCTAGACCCTTGAAGTGCAGGGGCAGCCCCACAGTGAGGGAGGATTTTTATTTTCCCTAGACATAGGCTTTCAAAGATATTGTGAGTATTAAATGATAAGTTCACATTTGTCAACATGTTACATATTTCACCTGTATTTAGGGTGTAACATGTAACATGTTGAGCATGCATCACCTTATTCGCTGATCCACTCCCTCCTTGTGACAGCAGGTGGGGGACCTTCTCCTCGCACCCCCTGTCACAATTTGAAAACAGAGCTCTGCCCACATGGCTGCATCATTCATTCATTGAGTTCTGTGAAGGAATGCCTACATGTGCTGTCAGCCATTGAGGCTGACAGCTTGTAGTTCTCAGTGAACTGCGAGGGTGCTGGTGAGTGCTTCCATAGCCTATTAAGCTTCTTGGACTTCAGTAACTGCCTACCCATACGGGAGGTACGGGCAGATAGTGTACTGACAGTCTCCAAAAGCCGATCTACTGATTGTAGGTGCAATGCTTTACAGGTCCCCAAAGACAAAAAAAATAATAAATGCACATTTTTTACCTGCAAAAAACATGTTCATTTCTAATTTTTTTTTTTTTTTGAAAGGTGAAGTAATTCTTTAAAGGGGAACCCCAACCAATCTGCTCTATTTATACATTTAAGTCAGTGAAGAAAACTCCTGACACATTCAATAAAGAGTAGAATATGCATGATGTGCATAGCATTAAGTAGGCATTTGAGCAATAATATGCAGAGTATAATTTGTATCTACCCTGTCTAAGGCCCTTTCCACACGGGGCAGGCTCCATTGGAGTCCGCTTGCTTAGCAGGGGAATCTGTGCGTTGATCCTTGCTGAGCAACCAGATGGCTGGTCTGTGTCCTCTCCACTTATGCAGAGTGGACACAGATACAGCCGCTCTCCTCTACTGGCGGTCGAATGTAAACTGACCACTTGTCCATTTACATCCAACTGCCATCCAATCCACTAAGCGGAAGGTGAATGGATCCCTGTCTCTCTGTTTTTAGCAGATAGGATCGGATGTAGGTGGGTGTAAACTGACACATGTCTATTTACATCCAGTGCTCCATAGGGGAGACTAAAGGGTCTGATCTGGTCCACCTAAAAAATGAACAGGCGGACCCCACTCGGTCTGCTAGTGTGAAAGGGGCCTAAAATGTGGATGGAATTGCCCTGTCTGTAAATACAAACTTATTCAAAGATGGTGTCGTTTTTTTTTTTTTTCCAATTTTTTTTGCTAGATGTGGATGAGTGTGAAGGAAGTCATCGTTGTCAGCATGGATGCCAGAACATTATTGGTGGCTATAGATGTAGCTGCCCACAAGGCTATCTCCAACATTATCAGTGGAACCAATGTGTGGGTGAGTAATCTTCCCATGTAGTATTGGCGGACTCACTATTCAGTTTCATAGTTTCTAATAGCTTTTGACATCCAAAAGAAAATTGCTGTAAAACATTCAATATAAATACTCTGAAATAAACACTTGTATGAAAACCATACAGGAAACGGTAATGAAATTGTGGGAATGATGTGCTAAATATCATTACAGGTAATGAAGTGATTTCTGAATTACTACATTGTACCTACAACATGTAACTGTCTTTGTATTTAGAAATTACTTGACTAAAAGCCCAATTTATTATGTTTTGTATTGTCCCCACATGTGGAAATCACACACATAAAAACTATAAACATGTGGGAGTCATTCTATTCTGTTAGTAAAAGTTAAAGATGAATAAGCCGGGGCATCAAATATACTAATAATTATCACCGCCTTGAGTTTTCAGATTCAATGTGACAAGATGTGTTTGTCATGGGATCAGTTAGTAAAGATGTATAATAACATTAGTACATCTTTGTTGTGTTTTGTTTTATGAGAACGCAAAAGTGTTTTAATATGTGTGGTGATTTCAATTATTTCACTTGACTGTTTGGGATACTTGGAAACCCATCACAAAGAGTCTGGGCAAATTTGGGTCCATCTTTTTATGTTCCGTTGTGTAATTTTATAATAAGTAACAGAGCCAGTTATGATCCAAAGTTTTGTTTTGTCTTCCATCATGATTTTGTACTGAAATGTCTCTGTAAATCTGTAAGTAAAAGAAACATCTCAACACCAATAGTATATGTTAGTACCAAGCCAAGTGTATGGCGTTAAACTAGAGAGATCCTTGAGGGTTGTTTTTAATCATAGTAAGCGTGTGTCAAGGGGTATAAAAGGGCTGCTTTAAAACAGAGATATCATTTCTTAAAAAGGGAAGCCTTGGATTCAGAGGATTTGATTTTGTAAAGGCAAAAACGGCTGTTTATAGGAATTTTCCCTTAGCTTAGTGAATGGGGTTAAGCTCTGCTGACTTCCATCACCCAATCCTGCGCGAGCAAAAATTTTTTTTTTTACTTTCCTTGCACATGATTGGGTATTCTCTGCAAAGTGAATTTTTGCCATCCACTAAGCTCATTTAAAATTCCCTTGCAAAGTAAACAACCAATCATTCTTCAGTAAATCAACTCCAGTATGTACATTTCATTTCAGGAGATCTACAATACCCCTAAAAAGTGCAGTGCTGCCCCCTATTAGCTCAATCAATAAAATGAAACTAAAAAGGCATTAATACATATAAAAAAATCATGTGATATACATAAAAATCAATAAAGTGCACTCTTTATATAAATAAAGGCAAAACTTTTTTTCTAGTTTTGAACAGAGTGGAGAGGCATTAGAAAACCTGTCAATTTTTATTGCTGTCTGTGTCCTACTTAAGGAGATTCACAATATCTATTTGTCCTGTTTACCATTATCATTGAAAGTAAAAGAAAACCTCAAATGTTTGGTTCTTGCCCCCAGAAATGTAATTGTGAAGAAATCTGGGAATGGGGACGCTAGTTCTGGGGACCTGGGGGTCCCCAAGGAATTCCCTTAATTTGCAGGGATTTCCTCTCTCTTCCTGTTTGGCTATGGGACAGAAAGTGAAGGGAAATCTCTGCAATGGGACACAGATGGTGAAAAAAAACTGAGAGGGGTTATAGCCTTCCCTTGCTCTATGCAAAGTGAAAAAAAAATGTTTTGCCTATAGTTCTACTTTAATACAAATGTGTGATCCAACAATAGTCCATCATAGTCATATCTGCATCACATCCAAAAATATAAAGTGCAAAACAACATACAGTATGTGTGTCCAGCAAAATCCCTATGTTATAGTAGGGCACTGTGTACCAATCACCTTCCAACTGCAAAAACAAATGGTGATACTTCTTATCCAAACACAATCCATGTGCAATCTGCATCCTATGCTACACCAAACTGCTAACCTTCAGTAAGAGAGCTCGTATGGAATATGAGGTCAATGCACATGTGTCCTCTTTAAGAGAAAGCACAGCAGCGGTCCATTTCCTCCACTGGCTTCCAACTAACCCACTGATTATATATATATGGCACATGAAGAAACAACAATGGATTTCACATAGTGCATTACCACAATTTGTATTACATATTGTGGTACATACAGCACACAGCCACCTATAGAGACATTTGACATAAAATCCTTGGGTACCATCATCTCTAAGGCCCAGGCATCCCAAGACCAGCAATAATTTATTTCCACAAAATTGTACATGTTCACCAACAGTATCTCTCTTCCTTTAGTGATTTTTGCTACCACAGTTCCGCTAAAAACCAGTGCGGCTTGTAGGTACTGGGTTGTTTTTTTATCTTTTATTATTTCCTTACTGCTTCCACATTGATTGAGTGATGTCCAGTGCACATTTACCTTGCAAGCATTTCAATTGTCTCATTGCAACAATTCTTATTAAGTAAATATGTTTCTGTCACCTTTAATCATAATATGCCTGTTTGGCAGATGAGCTTGCATTTTGTATTCAATTCATTTTCAGATAGCAGAAAGAAAGTGTAGCCCCACAGCCAGAGAGTTATAGGATATAATAGTTATAAAGATAAGCCTTTTCACTCCTGAAGACTAACCATTTTGGGTTTTCACTGATTGCAAAGTACAGTAGTTGAGCAATTTAACGTAAACTGAATTTAGACTATGGGGTTGATTTACTAAAACTGGAGAGTGCAAAATCTGGTGCAGCTGTGCATAGAAACCAATCAGCTTCCAGGTTTCATTAACAAAGCTTAACTGGACAAGATGATGTTAGAAGCTGATTGGCTACCATGCACAGCTGCACCAGATTCTGAGTGCTCCAGTTTTAGTAAATCTCCCCCTAAGTATACTGATCAATATCACTTCTGTCTGTTGCATAAAGTGAGTATAATATACAGCCTGGACATAATATGTAAAGTAATTAAGGCCATAGTACAATGGGGAAAATAATTATTTGATCCCCTGCATATTTTGTATGTTTGCCCACTTACAAAGAAATTAATGGTCTATACTTTTTATCATAGGTGTAATTTAAATGATAGAGACAGAATATCAACCAAAACGCCAGAAAAAAACACATTATACAAATATATATATATATGCTATAAATCTAGTTGCAGTTCAGTGAGTAAAATAAGTATTTGATCCCCTACCAACCAACAATAATTCTGGATCCCACAGGCTGACTATGTGCTCATGTGGTACTCAGATTAGTCCTGTCAATTTAAGAAGGCGCCCCTAACCTTATGTGTATAAAAGACACCTATTCACAGAATCTCTTTCTTCCACCTCACTATTATGGGCTGGAATGTCAGGGACATGATTGTAGACCTGCACAAGGCTGGAATGGGCTACACGACCATCAGCAATAAGCTTTGTGAGATGGAGACAACTGTTGGAGTGATTATTCACAAATGGAAGAAATACAAAATAACCATCACTTACCCTCGGTCTGGAGCTCCATGCAAGATTTCGCCTTATGGGGTAAGGATGATCATGAGAAAACTGAGGGATCAGCCCAGAACTACATGTGAGGAGCTTGTGAATTATCTCAAGGCAGTTGGGACCACAGTCACCAAACAAACCACTGATAACACAATACGCCGCCATAGATTGAAATCCTGCAGCACCCACAAGGTCCCCCTCCTCAAGAACGAACATGTACAGGCCCGTCTCAAGCTTGCCAATGAACATCTAAATGATTCAGAGAAGGATTGCAAGAAAGCGCTGAGGTCAGATTAGACCAAAAATTTAGCTCTTTGGTCATGTTTGGAGGAATACAAATGCTGGCTATGATCCTAAGAACACCATCCCTATAGTCAAGCTGGGAGGTGAAAACATTGTGCTTTGGGGCTGTTGCTCTGCTAATGGTACAGGCTGACTTTGCCAATTGAGGGGCCAATGGATGGGGCCATGTATTGTAAAATCTTGGATGAGAACCTTCTTCCCTCAGCCAGATCACTGAGCATGACAATGACCCAAAACATTCCGCCAAGACAACAAAGGAGTGGCTCAAAAACTTGCACATTAAGGTAATGGAGTGGCCTAGCCAGTCTCCAGACCTTAATCCTATAAAAAAATGTATGGAGGGAGCTGAAACTTCGAGTTGCCAAGCGACAGCCAAGAAACCTTAAGGATTTAAAGAATATCTGTAAAGAAGAGTGGACCAAAATCCCTCCTGAGATGTGTGCAAACCTGGTAACCAACTAGAAGAAGTGTCTTACCTCTGTGCTTGCCAACAAGGGTTTCTCCACCACAAGTACTAAGTCATGGTTTGCTTGGGGATCAAATACTTATTTTACTCACTGAACTGCAAATCAATTTATAACATTTGTATCGTGTGTTTTTTTTTTCTGGAGTTTTGGTTGATATTCTCTCTATCATTTAAAATACACCTATGATTAAAATTATAGACCCTTCATTTCTTTGCAAGTGGTCAAACTTACAAAATCTGAAGGGGATCAAATAATTATTTTCCCCACTGTATATATTTTATTTGCACAAGATTATTGTATACTTTGATGGAGGGTAGACAAAGGCTAAGGGGTTGAATTACTAAAGGCAAATAGGTGGTTTACTTTGTAAGGGAAGTTGCACTTTGGAAGGGAAGTATCACCAGAGCTTAAAGTGGAACTTCACCCAAAAGGGGATGTTCCTCTCTCCCTCCACCTCCCCCCCCCCCCCTCCTTCGCATTTGGCATTTTACTTTTTGGGGATTGAGCAGGTACCTGGTTTTGACAGGTACCTACTCTCCCATTTCCAGTCGGATCGCCTTGTCGATCTGAGAAGTTCAGCTGCTCCTTCTTCCCCTGCAGCCTTCTGGTTCATGTCACATGTTCCAGAAAACTGCGGGACCATTCAGGAAGCACAGCTCATGCTCATGGCTCATGTATGCACAGTGAAGCTGTAAGCAGTCACAGCTGGCTGCCCACAATTAGACCAAAGCCTGGTGAAAAAACTGGCTGGGTTGAGGATAGAGCTGGATCCTGGGACAGGTGAATGTCCTTATCAGTAGCTACAGTTGCTGGCTTTTAATTTTTCATCACATGACTGAAGAACTGTTTTAAAAAAATTAGTGGAAATGCATTTTGCAAAGAATATCCAATTACGTTCAAGGAAAAAAAAAAAACAGCATTTTTAATCGAGCATGATTGGATGATTGAAGTAAGCAAAGCTTTTTCACTAAGCTCTGCGAAAAATTCCCATGCGCAGTGCAATTTTCCTTACAAAGTGAAAAGTCTATTTGCCTTTAGTAAATCAACCCCGAAATGAACTGTGAGTAATTCAAACGATGACTCCATTACAGAATGTCAGTAAGTAGACTACTAGTATCATTATAAGGTTTTTGTAAAGTGTTTGTAATCATTGAAACTGTTACAACAAAATAATGCATTTTCTTTGCAATCTTGTTTTCCTTCAGATGAGAATGAATGCTTGAACACCCATTCATGTGGGGGAGCTATGTGCCACAACACATTGGGAAGCTTCAAGTGTATATGTCCAACAGGATTTCAGTTCGAACAATTTGCTGGCTCATGTCAAGACATCAATGAGTGCAGCTCTTCTCAAGCACCTTGTAGCTACGGTTGTTCAAATACTGAAGGAGGATATGTCTGTGGCTGTCCACCTGGATACTTCAGAATAGGACAAGGGTAATCATCACCAGCATTCCACAAATAACTATTCTACATCTATCAATATTCTTAGGTGGAGTGGAAATACACATTCTGCATACTTTTTTTAAATGTCAGTGATAATATAAAGCTCAGGTCAACACAGGGACATGACCTCAAACTAACAGGAGGAAAGTTCTAAACTAAACGTAGACAGTAGTATTTTACCAGAGGATTAGCTGACCCTTGGACTAGACTTCCAGCGGAGGTAGAGAGTCAGTCAACAGTAAGTACATTCAGCTATGCTTGGGACAAACATAGATCTTTAATGATGCTGAGAATATTTCCTACTTAGTAGAGGTGGAAAAATGAATTAATCTAGGTCAAAGGCAATGTAGCCCAACAACTGAATCTAAAGAGGTTCAGTTGTCCGAAATGACCACTATTGTCTAAAATATTGTATATACTGTAAATAGTATAGCTATATGTGGTTAAAGGATACGTTCACCTTTTGGGACGTTACATGTACCACCCAAATTTAGGCCTCCTCTCCCCCTAATCCCCCCCTCAGTGTGAAAGCTAGCGGGGGATCTTCTCGCCACAAAACCTGTCACAATTCAAAAACAGCATGCCCGTGCGGGGGTCGTTTCATTACCGGATTATAGCCATAATTGCCAGAAGGAGTAGTTATGAAATCTAATAGAAGTTTGTCTTGTACTTTCAGACACTGTGTAACAGGAGCCGGACTAAGCAGAGCTGCCCAGGATATGGCAGCGAGTGGAGAAATAGATGATAACTCTTTGTCCCCCGAAGCTTGCTATGACTGTAAGATCAATGGCTATCCCAAGAGAGGAAGGAAACGAAGGAGTGCCAATGATACCGCGTCAAGTGATAATGAGGTAATATTTCTTTTTCTGGACTGTTGTACAGTTACATGAAAAGCATGGAATGCATTAGAATATGTGAGCTTCACTAGCCATTACCTTAATGTTTTTCCTTAATAGAAAAGCATCTAAAAAAATTACCAGCCAACTGTTTTTGTACAACCCCAATTCCAAAAAAGTTGGGATGTTGTGTAACATCTAAATAAAACAGAATGCAGTGATTTTAAATCTCATAAACCCATATTTTATTCACAATAGAAAAACATATCAAATGTTTAAACTGAGAAAATATACTATTTTAAGAAACAAAATAAGATAATTTTGAAATTAATGGCAGCAACCCATCTCAAAAAAGTTGGGACAGGAAAACAAAAAAGCTAGTAAAGTACAACCACCAATTCCAACAATTTTGTGACAGGGCCTTGTTCACCATGGTGTAGCAGCTGCTCTTCTTTTAACAACACTCTAAATGTCTGGGAACTGAGGAGAACAACTGCTGGAGTTTTGGGAGAAGATTGTTGTCCCATTCTTACTTGAGCGTGTGCTGCTCTAAAAACTGGATATATCTTTCAGATGGTGATTTTACAGATGTTGCAAGTTGCCCATTCCATACTCACTTATGCACCCACATACCATCAGAGATGCAGGCTTTTGGACTGCGCACTGATAACAAGCCAGAAGCCATAACCTGTGGTTGCCAAAAAGAATGACGAATTTTGACTCGTCTGACCAGAGAACAGATTTTCACTTTCGCTTTGGCCCAGAGAAGATGGCGGAATTTCTAGATCATGTTCAAATATTACTTACTTTGCATGTTAGTTTTACCTTGCATTTTTGGATGGCACTTTGGAGAGTGTTCACAGACAGTGATTTTTGGCAGTATTCCTGAGCCCATGTAGTGATGTCCATCACAGAATTATGTCTGTTATTAATGCAATGCCGTCTGAGGGCCCAAAGATCAAGGCCTTGTCCCTTGCGTACAGAGATTTCTCCTGATTTTTTACATTTTTTCATGATATTATGTACTGTAGATATTGATATATTTAAAGTCTTTGCAATTTTTACATTGAGGAATATTATTCTGAAATTGTTTTAGATGCAGCTTTTCACAGATTTCTGAACCTCTGCCCATCTTTATTTTTGACTCTAAGATGCTCTTTTTACACGCATTCATATTACTGACCTGTTGCCAATTAACCTAATTAGTTGAAAAATGTTCTTCTATTTTGTTGCCCTTTCCCAACTTTTTTGAGATGTGTTGCTGCTATCAATTTCAAATTTACCTTATATTTTTTCTTAAAATGGTACATTTTCTCAGCTTAAACATTTGATATGTTTTCTATTTTGTAATGTGAATATATTTATGGTTCATGAGATTTGAAAATCATTGCATTCTGTTTTATGTAGATTTTACAGTGCCCTTGTACTGCTTTAACCTTTAACCTGTTATTCTGCAATTGGCCAGGCAGAACTCTCGTCGATCCGAGTGAGCGTCATATGATGCCCTTCCCGGTTCTCGCCTCGCGCCTGCCTGCGGGTCTGCACTGCTGCAAGATCACCAGCTGTGTACCTTGGACCGGCCTGGTGCCAGTACCATATGACCTGCTGTGACCAATCACAGCAGGTCAAACGACAATTGTAAACAATGGATGGCTTCCTTTCATGCCATCCATTGTATACAATTGTGTCACTAGCTGTGATTGGTTCCAGTAATTACATGTACAGACTGGGCCAATCACAGCCGATCTGTGTCATATCATGACCAATCACAGCTAATCACAAAAAAAAAAACCTAAATGAATCGATTTCATTCAGTTAAATGCTTGCTTATAGCAAAGACATTCTTTACTATAAGCAATCATAATGTGTACAAGAAAAAAAAAAAAATACTGATCACTTCCCCAAAGTAGTACAATGTTACTATGGTAACATTATACTACTCTGGTCACGGTGTATTATGAAAAAAAAATCTGGAAAAAATAAAAATTGAAAAAACTTTTTTTTTTTCATACTGTCACCAGTCAGTGGCCCTGATCACTGCCTCACCAGTTATATAATGATGCTGTACTGCATAGGTGACAGAATGTTAAAAGAATTATGATAAAAACATTACAACTTCAAAAAACTCACCATGCCTCTTACTAAATACCTCAGACTGTCAACTTTGCAAAAAAGGGTCATTTGGGGGATATCTGTACTGTCCTGACATTTTTGGGTCTCAAGAAATTAGATTGGCCATCAGTACTTCAGGATTGATCAATTTTCATATATATATATATATATATATCATAGTTTGTGAACTCTATCACTTTCCTACAGACTAAATAATAAGCACTGATTCGGGTTATTTTCACCAGAGAAATGTAGCAGAATCTTGGCCTACATTTATGAAGAACTATTATTTGCAAAGGTTTATAACAGAAAAAAAGAAAAACGTGTTTTTTTTTTTCAAAATTTCTGTCTATTTTCATTAATTTAGCAAAAAATTAAAACCCCAGTGGTGATTAAATACCACAGAAAGAAAGCTCTAGTTGTGTGAACAAAATGATAAGAAACTTAGGGTACAGTGTTGCATGACCGAGCAATTGTTATTCAAAGTGTGAAAGCACTGAAAGCTAAAAATTGGCATGGGCAGGAAGGGGGTAAAAGTGGCCGGTATTGAACTTATTTAATACAATTTGTAACATTTAGTTTTGTGTTTTGTTTTTTTTCCACAAGGATCAGCTTCAGTTGGAAGCCCCTGTTAGCCTCGCCAGCTGGGATTCTGAGAAAACTGCAATCCTTTCCTTTAATGTTTCCCACTTGCACAGTAGAGACCGTATTTTGGAGTTTACACCAGCTCTCACAACTCTGCAACACCACAACCGATACCTAATAGACTCTGGGAATGAAGAAGGCTTGTTTAGGCTCAACCAAAAGGATGGCATCAGTTACCTGCATCTAACCAAGAAGAAGCCATTGTCTGGTGTTTATAACCTACAGATTAGCAGTTTCCCTCTTTATAAGGAGAAAGAGCTTATCCAGCTTGAAGACAGACACGACAGAGACTACCTCACTGGTGAACTGGGTGACATTCTTAAAATGAAAATTAGAATCTTACTTCATTAAGTTGCCATGCCAAAGAACAGCCAAAACAAAACCAAAGATTACTAAAGTAGTCATGAATGTTTCCTCCCACCTTCCCCAACTTCACTGAATCCTCTAGCATAGGTACAGATCCTTCATAACTATGTATCTATGACTTAAGAAAGCACTTTCTTCTTCTCATGACATATGCAAGGTACAGGATCATTATCCCAGCTAACCACAACCACTTTCTCAGGCTTCCTTTATTGTTATGGTGAATATGACGATATTAAACTTGGAGACTTTTTCAATGGAAGTTGGCCTTTGATGCTGAAAGATTTGATCTTTTCAGCAGAGGTACATGTAGTTGTTCTCTTGTTGGACTTCTCTGGTTTGTACTATAAAAGTTTTCCATGCCACCTACAACTCACTAAGCCAGACATTTATGAGACCTTTTTGGTGCTAGTAACTTCTTTCAAAAAAGATCTTTTTTTTTATAAATGCACTGTAATATTTACACATTTTAGAAGCCAACCAATACTCTGTCTAAACTGTTTTCAACTTACAAACTCAACCAAAGTTAGCTTTAGTTTATCTCAATTATCTCTATATGTCATGTAAATGACATGTGTGTATACTGTATTCAAGCTTTTATTTATCCTTGGAGCAATTGTAAACTAGATTAAAAACCTAACATGAGTTTTTCGGGTTTTCTTTATGAATGGTGCTTACAGAGACCAACTACTTGTAAAACATATACACGGGCCTAGTGGTGCAATACTTTGTGACTAGGTCGATGCACTGAGGTCAGCTGACCACATATACTTATCAGAGGAAGTTCAGTGCCATTATACAATATATGACATATGTTGCACATCAGAAGTACCCAACGGCATTCATATGAAAGGCTCAGTTCATACATGAGACAATAAAATTATTTTAGAATCTTTTTTTTATTTCTCAAAGTTCAGATTGTGTTTGCATTTTCTAACCATACAACAACTATTACTGTATGCGTAATTTAATACTGACGGGAAAACCAAGACAATTATGCCTTCTTGTAATGTCCTGTGGTACTTAGTTTTGCATATTGAAAACAAAACAGCTGTCTTTCATATGTGTGAAGAAGTACAAATCCATTAATTTTACAAAATAAATCAGCAGCCAACCTACTGCTGTGAATTTTACAATGAAAATGTCTGCTGTTAATTCTTATGTTGGTGGTTTGTAATGTACTGTGGTGTGTAATCACATACAGTCAGTTAACAGGGCTGCATATGGCCAAAATACAGAGGATGATATTTTATGGCTCTATGTCTCTTCACACTAATTTGATTGTTCATCCTGCCCGATTTCTTCCCTGCTTATATGCAGTGACTCACTAGATGAGTTTCTGAAGGTGAGATAAACAATATGTGCCCTTCCTATACAAACAGAATAGTTTATACTCATACGATGAGAAAAGTTATTTCCAATATCCACTTCCGGACCAGTGACATACCTGTACATCACTGGACTTTGAGTGGCTATACCAGGATGATTGTTTTTTTCACATTTCTTATAAAAGAAATTTCACGGCTTTCCTGGTTGCTCCTGTTTTCAGCTGGCAGTTCCACCGGCGGACGATAGAGCTGGTTGGAGACCTGAAAGGCTCAGATAATTATTTATGGTCTAAGAAGCCGGAAAAGATGAGCATTTCATCACTTCTCATTTTGTGGTTGTAAACAAACCCTTAGGGGTTTGAAAAAAAAAAAATTCGGATCATAACGATCTTGTTATGATTTGAAGCTTTTAAGAGCAGAGGAGAGATCTGGTGTCTGATATACCCTAGAAATCACACTAAAGAATACCTGTCACTGCCTTTTTCTATCACAGGGGATATTTATATTCACTGTGATAACAATAACAGTGATCAAATAAACTAAAAAAAAAAAAGTTTAAAGCGTCTCCGTCCTTCCATGCTCTCCGACAAAGGCGAACGTGCATGTTGGTCCTGTACGCATATGTAATCAGCAATCGCACCACACATGTGAGGTATCACCACGAACATCAGACTGAGGGCAGTAATTCTATAATTCTATCCCCAGGCTGCCGCTGTAAATCTAAAATGGTAACCAGTAAAGGCTTTCAAAGTGTTGCCTATGGATAATAAAATGTACATAGTTTGTCGCCTTTGCACAGGAGTGCGCAAATTTAAAGCGCAAGTTTTACTCAATGCAACATCATCTTTTATATTTTACCAAACACTTGGGTATTATATTGTGCATTAAAATTCAAAAGAGTGCTTTTTTTTTTTTGTTAATTGCAATCGAAAAACTGATGCACAAATATCATGTGACTTAAAAAAATTGCAACACCCACCATTTTATTTTTTAAAGCCTCTGCTTTTAAAAAACATATGTTTGTAGGTTATAGGTAATTTCTAGCAAAAAACACAGATTTTTTCATGTAAATAAAAAAGTGTCAGAAAAGGCCTAGTATTCCTTTGGATATTTTGGTGACAGAGCATATTTCCTAAATTAATGTTGGTTTCAGTCACTTAATCCAGAAATTACCTTTTTTTCTGCGAATATCTAAATAATTCCATTTTGCTGCCTAGTCAATGGTGCCACCAACAAACATGTAAAGCTCAATTCATACGGCTATCACACCAGGATAAGAATCCTTATTTTCAAGAAAGTAATAGTTATTTTTCAAGTCCAATGAGATTTGAAAAGTATATTTATATGGTTAAAATATTGATCATGAGCCTTGTGTTAAACCTTTGTGAATTGAGCCCATATTCTGTTCTGGTGCACATTATTATCTCATCCACTCAATAGTGCCCCATAAAATTTACTCTACCAAGTCAGTCATGGACACAGAATCTAGTTTTGCCGATTTAAGGTTCAGAACCTTCTTTGCCCTCTCAGTAGTACTCAGAAGAAAGTGAAAATGCAGAATGTTATTCCTAAACCTGGGTCCCCACCACCTTTAATACTTCAGCAAGTCATTGCCATGCTGATTGAACTACAGCACAGAGCTGGAAGAAAATGTGTAAAACAGAATCTCTCAGCAGGAGCTTCTATGCAAAAGGAAAGAAAATAGGTTGTACTTTTTATCCCTGTTAATCCTAGTAAAACCAGGTTATGATGGAGTTAAAATCACTATTGATTCTGTTCAATCAAGCTGTAAATTCAATAATATTAAATATGTTTCTACATACATATGATTGTATATCAAAAATTAGACAGGTAATTGATTTACAGTGGTTAGCAGCACAGCCATATCATCATTTATGAATACTTTTCATCCAAAAGGATTATATACAACTCACCAATATACACACTGTGAACCTGTCATTATGTTTGGATTTTAAGATCCTCCTGAGGCATTATAAACTGAACTTACAAAAACCTATACTAAGACTCTGCACATTGAGGTATTTACATATTCTAATCAAGTAGTAATAGCAGTTTTAATCAATCTCCCACTCACCTCTGTAGTTATAGAAACTGTGGAGAAACTGACCTTCAAAACAAAATCTTAGTTTCTATTACACTTTTGTGTTGGGCCACATTCATAGCCATCTTGGGCCGCATGTAGGTGTGAGCCACAGGTTGGACACCCCCTGCTATATACATCCAGTTTAATGAAAATGCATCAAGAATGTGCAAAGCAGGCTTTTTTTCTTTATTGCACCGCATTTAAAATGCACAAGTGTGAACGAGGTTTCAGAGTCTTTGTGATCTTTGAGAATCAATGACTTCACAGTACAGGCTAGAGCGGACAGGTATGGTATATTCTAAAACATTTTTACTGCTTGGTCTTGAGAAAGATGGACTAAGCTTGATTGGAACGTTGACAATAAAAACACTGCTGTTTTGGTATGCCTCCTACGTACACTACGTACAAGACCCATAGGTGCTACTATCTTAGTAGTGCATTTTTAGGGAAGTTTAACTTGGTGGATCATTGTATTTTCAAATGAAATCATGCATTATATGGCTATAGAAATTGAATGCCTTTTAATGTGTCTGCAACAGTAAATTACACATCTGTACATCTGGTGCATTCTGATAGCTGCTCTAAAAAGGGTGTTTTATGGGTCTTTTATTCTACTGCCCCCTAGGACTACAGATCCTTGCATCTACTTCAGCCATTCTCATCCAGGGTTCCGTAAATCCCTAGGGTTCCTTGAGCTGTGTCTGATTGACCTCCAGTTTTACTGGTGACTGCAGAGTTCCGGGGCAAAGCCAGAAGAATGACACCAATTTTAGCTGTCTGTAATGGTGGCTATCTGACCACCACTGTAAGGGCCGCATTCTTCCCACTGATCACAAGTCTAATGTTTCCCATTACCCCTGATAAATTGATTTTAGTAAGGGATCCCTTGGGCCTAATAATTATTTTAGGCATTCCCCTCAGGTAGAACATTTGAGGAAGGTTGGTCTACATAGTTATGTATAAGTCATGAAGAGCAATCTACCTGTAGTAAAAATAGTGATTTCTGAATATGTTCTATTTAAATACTTAAAGTATAACTATAGGCAAAACCTTTTTTTCATTTTAGATTAGAGTAAGAAAGGGTTATAACCCGTCAGTATATTTTTTGCCTTCTGTGCCCCATTGGGGAAATTTCCCTTCACTTCCTGTCCCATAGCCAAAACAGGAAGTGAGAGGAAATCCCTTCAAATTAAGTGAATTTCTTGGGGACCCCCAGGTGACCAGAACTAGTGTCCCCCATTGGAAGATTTCCCATCACTTACTTTTCTGGGGACAACCCAAAACTTGGGATTTTCTTTTGCTTTCACTTTCAGAGATAATGGTAAACAGGTGAATCTCCCTAACGAGGGCTCAGACAGCAATTAAAATTGACAGAAGTTCTAATTCCTTTCAACAGTATCCAAAACTAAAAAGTTTTGCGTTTTAGTTATACTTTAAATTAAAAAAATTGTAAAACAAAGGGAAAGTCTTCCTTCGCTCTAATATATTACATTGTTTTATTATTTTATTTAGAGCTATGTAGAGAGCCACATGATATTCTTATGTTATGTTTGTTA